CTTACTCAGACCACCTTAACCCTAACCTTAACCATCTTACTCAGACCACCTTAACCCTAACCTTAACCATCTTACTCAGACCACCTTAACCCTAACCTTAACCATCTTACTCAGACCCACCTTAACCCTAACCTTAACCATCTTACTCAGACCACCTTAACCCTAACCTTAACCATCTTACTCAGACCACCTTAACCCTAACCTTAACCATCTTACTCAGACCACCTTAACCTTAACCATCTTACTCAGACCACCTTAACCCTAACCTTAACCATCTTACTCAGACCACCTTAACCCTAACCTTAACCATCTTACTCAGACCACCTTAACCCTAACCTTAACCATCTTACTCAGACCACCTTAACCCTAACCTTAACCATCTTACTCAGACCACCTTAACCCTAACCTTAACCATCTTACTCAGACCACCTTAACCCTAACCTTAACCATCTTACTCAGACCACCTTAACCCTAACCTTAACCATCTTACTCAGACCACCTTAACCCTAACCTTAACCATCTTACTCAGACCACCTTAACCCTAACCTCAACCATCTTACTCAGACCACCTTAACCCTAACCTTAACCATCTTACTCAGACCCACCTTAACCCTAACCTTAACCAGTCATCACTTAAGGACTTATTAGTCTAAAACTAATTTGAAAGTAGGATTGTTACTTCCGGTTTCGTCCCGATTCTGTTTATGATCTAGTGCTGACCCTGGCTGCAGGGCTGGAGGCTGGAGGGCCGCAGGGCTGGAGGCTGGAGGCTGGAGGCTGCAGGGCTGGAGGCTGGAGGCTGGAGGCTGCAGGGCTGGAGGCTGGAGGCTGCAGGGCTGGAGGCTGGAGGCTGGAGGCTGGAGGCTGGAGGCTGGAGGCTGGAGGCTGCAGGGCTGGAGGCTGGAGGCTGGAGGCTGGAGGCTGCAGGGCTGGAGGCTGGAGGCTGGAGGCTGGAGGCTGCAGGGCTGGAGGCTGCAGGGCTGGAGGCTGCAGGGCTGGAGGCTGGAGGGCTGGAGGCTGCAGGGCTGGAGGCTGGATCTATTATAATAACTGGATAGAGTATTACAGCTTGTAGCTGAATAACTCACGTGCTCAGGGGATTCTCGCGGTACTGCAGACTGAACCAGACTGAACCAGACTGAACCAGACTAAATTCACGTGGGCTACCCAGAAATTTTCCCCATAGAACTCAATGCATATTAAAACAGCTCAACCTCAGCTGACAGAGAACCTGACAGAGAACCTGACAGAGAACCTACAGCTTTCATAAAGGTCAGATTTTGTGGGGATTTTAGTGTCCCTTGTCGTCCTGAACTTTTTTTCTTCTTAAATCCTTGGGTTTTGTTTAAATCCACACTTTAGTGCCACAAACTCTGCTCGTCTGGCTCTCGCTCTAACTCCCGCTCTGATGAACTGCTCTGATTGGTCAGAGCGCGGCCGAGCCCCTCTGTGCACGTGCGTGAGACCCTCTGTGCACGTGCGCGAGCCCCTCTGTGCACGTGCGTGAGCCCCTCTGTGCACGTGCGTGAGACCCTCTGTGCACGTGCGCGAGCCCCTCTGTGCACGTGCGTGAGCCCCTCTGTGCACGTGCGCGAGACCCTCTGTGCACGTGCGTGAGCCCCTCTGTGCACGTGCGCGAGACCCTCTGTGCACGTGCGTGAGCCCCTCTGTGCACGTGCGTGAGCCCCTCTGTGCACGTGCGTGAGACCCTCTGTGCACGTGCGTGAAACCCGGTGTGAGACCCACACACGCGTGTTTGGCGCAATGCATTATGGGAGATCATCCACTGCACAGAACCGGGAGGACCAGACGATGCCCAAATACAGGAGAGTTTCCCATAGACCTTTGAGAGTTTCCCATAGATCTTTGAGAGTTTCCCATAGATCTTTGAGAGTTTCCCATAGATCTTTGAGAGTTTCCCATAGATCTTTGAGAGTTTCCCATAGACCTTTGAGAGTTTCCCATAGACCTTTGAGAGTTTCCCATAGACCTTTGAGAGTTTCCCATAGATCTTTGAGAGTTTCCCATAGACCTTTGAGAGTTTCCCATAGATCTTTGAGAGTTTCCCATAGATCTTTGAGAGTTTCAGGCGACTTCTGCTAATCTTTCAGCCCCCATGCCGTCACAAAGCGCCACCGAGCACAACCATTCATTTGAATAGGGCTGGAGGCCGCAGGGCTGGAGGCTGGAGGCCGCAGGGCTGGAGGCTGGAGGCTGGAGGGCTGGAGGCTGGAGGCTGCAGGGCTGGAGGCTGGAGGGCTGGAGGCTGGAGGGGCTGCAGTGCTGGAGGCTGGAGGCTGGAGGCTGCAGGGCTGGAGGCTGGAGGGCTGGAGGCTGCAGGGCTGGAGGCTGCAGGGCTGGAGGCTGGAGGCTGGAGGCTGGAGGCTGCAGGGCTGGAGGCTGGAGGCTGGAGGCTGGAGGCTGGAGGCTGCAGCGCTGGAGGCTGGAGGCTGCAGGGCTGGAGGCTGGAGGCTGCAGGGCTGGAGGGCTGGAGGCTGCAGGGCTGGAGGCTGCAGGGCTGGAGGCTGGAGGCCGCAGGGCTGGAGGCCGCAAGGCTGGAGGCTGGAGGCTGGAGGCTGGAGGCTGGAGGCTGGAGGCTGGAGGCTGGAGGCTGGAGGCTGGAGGCTGCAGCGCTGGAGGCTGGAGGCTGCAGGGCTGGAGGCTGGAGGCTGCAGGGCTGGAGGGCTGGAGGCTGCAGGGGCTGGAGGCTGCAGGGCTGGAGGCTGGAGGCCGCAGGGCTGGAGGCGGCAGGGCTGGAGGCTGGAGGCTGGAGGCTGGAGGCCGCAGGGCTGGAGGCTGGAGGCTGGAGGCTGGAGGCTGGAGGCTGCAGGGCTGGAGGCTGGAGGGCCGCAGGGCTGGAGGCTGGAGGCGGAGGCTGGAGGCTGGAGGCTGGAGGCTGGAGGCTGGAGGCTGCAGGGCTGGAGGCTGGAGGGCCGCAGGGCTGGAGGCTGGAGGCTGGAGGCTGGAGGCTGGAGGCTGCAGGGCTGGAGGCTGGAGGCTGGAGGCTGGAGGCTGCAGGGCTGGAGGCTGGAGGGCCGCAGGGCTGGAGGCTGGAGGCTGGAGGCTGGAGGCTGGAGGCTGCAGGGCTGGAGGCTGGAGGCTGGAGGCTGGAGGCTGCAGGGCTGGAGGCTGCAGGGCTGGAGGCTGGAGGCTGGAGGCTGCAGAGCTGGAGGCTGGAGGCTGGAGGCTGGAGGCTGGAGGCTGCAGAGCTGGAGGCTGGAGGCTGGAGGCTGGAGGCTGGAGGCTGGAGGCTGGAGGGCTGTCCTCAGGCGTCAAAATAAAATAATGTTCCGGCTTCTCCCTCACGCCTCCACTTTATACAAATGTTTTACCTTTTTATTATCATTTTTATACTTGTTTTTAAAAGTTTGCCCTGAGTTCATCCTGGACTGATTAAGTACAAAACACATCGACACAAAACCATCACAAAATGATAAAAATACAAAGTTTTCACATCGTTCCAAAACAAGAATCCAAAACACTTCTGTCCAGTGCAGTTTCTGACTTATTTATTTTTATTTACGGACGAATCTGAATTTGACACAAACAGTTTCATTCACACTGGGATGAACTGGGATGGCGGCCATATTGGTGTTGTATGATTCAATTTGAACATTTTATCAACAATAAAGGCTACACAAAAATATAAAAATAAAATCTCTAAATGGTCCAAAAATAAAATCTATGAGAAAAACCCATAAATCTTTCAATCAGTAGAATTTTCACTTTTTTCTCGACAAAAGAGCAACAAATGATGTTTGTTTTTGTCACTCGTCAGAACAAAGATAAATAAGTGACGACTTAAACAACAGTAGATAAGGATTGTTTGCAGAACAGTGACGCCGTCAGACCCAGAGTTCAACCACGGACTGAGGCGGCGGCCATTTTGGTGTGGAATGGTTTTTACAACTCTTCACTTTAACATCTGTTTTGAGAGGAAGAAGTTCCAAAAATGGTCCTTATTGGTCCAAAAAATAATTCATAAAAATGTGTTCAATTGTAACTTATTTTGTTAAGATTACAGTAATTGCCGGACTCTAAAATACTAGTTTTTGAAGTTCTTTGAAACCGGCGGCTTTTTAGCGCTGCAACTGATCTGTGTATTTTTACTGAGTTGAAGAATCGTCCGAGGAAACATCAGCGGTTTATGTTTATGTGAACAGCAGAGAGCGACACAGGACTGGGACTGACGCAGCTATCGTCAAAGAGGAGTCCAAACACAGAAGCTAACCGCTAAGGCTAACATGTCCTTAAATCATGTTGTGACCAGTGTGGCCTGTATCTGGATTTATTTATTTTAGTTAAACTAAACAAAACTCTAAATAAACTTGTTTCCAAAATGGCCGCCTTGTTCTGGTCCAAACCAAACAGAGTGATTTTCTGATCGTCTCCGTCTCAGGCACTGGAACAGTTAAAGGACGTCCTGTGGCTTTGATTGTTTTAGTCCGATTGAAACACGACTCGTGATTGGTTAATGATTGATTATAGTTTGGTTGAAGATCATTCACTTTGTTTTGGGAGGAACGGGGCACAGGGAGAACAAGGCACAATCTCGATGATAAATTCTTTACAGTGAAAGAAAATGAAATGAAACCAGTAGCAGTAGTATTTGCAGTATTTGCAGTATTTGCAGTAATAGTATATTGTATTATATATACACTGTGAACGTGTTGAGTTGACGAAGCCGGAGTTTTACTGTTTTTTATCCATTTGAGTGAAATGTGAGAAACTAAACCCAAAGCTGAAACAGTTGTGCTTTTCAAGATGGCGTCTCAGAAGAGTTTAGACTGAGTGAGAAAACAGCTGGAGCGAAGACAGTAGAAGAAGAATGCCCAAAGTACAGAAATCTAAAGGAAACTAAACAGACGTTCCTGGACTACCTCGCAGTCGCTGCTGATCGGCTACATTCAGAACAATTCCCCCAAAACAAAGATTTTTTTAATTTTCTGTTTTTTTCTGCTAAAGTTTTGGTCGAGGAAAGCGCTCAGGGACGTAGATGGTTACGATGCCAGGACGCTCCGCCGCAGCAGCTCCTCGCCGCCCGGACGCAGCAGGCCCGGCGAACGCTCGCCGTCGCTCTGCTCGCCGTCAGAGTAGTATCCGTCGCCGTCGTCTAAAAGCGTGGAGTCTTTGGGCGCCGTGTCGGTGCTGTCCTCGCCACGCCCACACCGCGGTTTCCCTCGAGACAGACGCACACGGAGCGGCGCCGACTCCTCCGAGATGTGACAGGAGTCCATTTTGGAGACGGGAGGCTGCGGCGCCGGGTCCAGGCTCCGGGACGTGGGGTGGGGGTGGTGGGTCAGCGAGCGGGACTTGGGTTTGGGCCACAGGGAGGAGGGGGGGGGGCTGGCGGAGGAGAGGGGGGTGTGCGAGGGGGAGGAGAGGGAGCGCGGGGGAGGCCTGTGGTGATGGTGCGAGGCCCGAGGTCTGCGCCCGAGGCGGGGGGTCTTCCAGGCGGAGCTTTCCATCACCAGGTTCAGGAGCCCCTCCTGCCCCGACAGCAACTGAGAGAGAGAGACAGGTACATGTTATTATTAGCTCCATAGACACCACAGAGAGAGAGACAGGTACATGTTATTATTAGCTCCATAGACACCACAGAGAGAGAGACAGGTACATGTTATTATTAGCTCCATAGACACCACAGAGAGAGAGACAGGTACATGTTATTATTAGCTCCATAGACACCACAGAGAGAGAGACAGGTACATGTTATTATTAGCTCCATAGACACCACAGAGAGAGAGACAGGTACATGTTATTATTAGCTCCATAGACACCACAGAGATATGTAAATAATGTGAATAATTAATAATACTGAAACAGTCAGAAACAGAAGATCTGACATCTTTGGGGTCACTTCTGAGAGAGCTCATTACTGTAGAATTATTACTTTCTACTAAGTTTCAGTCAAAACATTGGGAAATATTTTGCATTCCTGGACTTTTAAAACTACACTGAGACTGTTTGATTTGTCATGTTTTAGAATCTGAAATAATAATAAAGTAGAGAATAAAAGAATGAAAGGTAATTATTGATGTAGGCCTGCAGTGGCTCTGTGCTGCCACCAGAGGGCGGAGTCACACCTGTTTTGTTTTGCTACTATCTTATTTATGACGCAACTGTTTAAAGACACAGTCCTGCTGAGCTTCACCTGCAGGGGGCGCTGAGCTTCAGAGGGAGACCTACTTCACCTGCAGGGGGCGCTGAGCTTCAGAGAGAGACCTACTTCACCTGCAGGGGGCGCTGAGCTTCAGAGAGAGACCTACTTCACCTGCAGGGGGCGCTGAGCTTCAGAGGGAGACCTACTTCACCTGCAGGGGGCGCTGAGCTTCAGAGAGAGACCTACTTCACCTGCAGGGGGCGCTGAGCTTCAGAGAGAGACCTACTTCACCTGCAGGGGGCGCTGAGCTTCAGAGAGAGACCTACTTCACCTGCAGGGGGCGCTGAGCTTCAGAGAGAGACCTACTTCACCTGCAGGGGGCGCTGAGCTTCAGAGAGAGACCTACTTCACCTGCAGGGGGCGCTGAGCTTCAGAGGGAGACCTACTTCACCTGCAGGGGGCGCTGAGCTTCAGAGAGAGACCTACTTCACCTGCAGGGGGCGCTGAGCTTCAGAGGGAGACCTACTTCACCTGCAGGGGGCGCTGAGCTTCAGAGAGAGACCTACTTCACCTGCAGGGGGCGCTGAGCTTCAGCGGGAGACCTACTTCACCTGCAGGGGGCGCTGAGCTTCAGAGAGAGACCTACTTCACCTGCAGGGGGCGCTGAGCTTCAGAGGGAGACCTACTTCACCTGCAGGGGGCGCTGAGCTTCAGAGGGAGACCTACTTCACCTGCAGGGGGCGCTGAGCTTCAGAGAGAGACCTACTTCACCTGCAGGGGGCGCTGAGCTTCAGAGGGAGACCTACTTCACCTGCAGGGGGCGCTGAGCTTCAGAGGGAGACCTACTTCATCTGCAGGGGGCGCTGAGCTTCAGAGGGAGACCTACTTCACCTGCAGGGGGCGCTGAGCTTCAGAGAGAGACCTACTTCACCTGCAGGGGGCGCTGAGCTTCAGAGGGAGACCTACTTCACCTGCAGGGGGCGCTGAGCTTCAGAGGGAGACCTACTTCACCTGCAGGGGGCGCTGAGCTTCAGAGGGAGACCTACTTCACCTGCAGGGGGCGCTGAGCTTCAGAGGGAGACCTACTTCACCTGCAGGGGGCGCTGAGCTTCAGAGAGAGACCTACTTCACCTGCAGGGGGCGCTGAGCTTCAGAGAGAGACCTACTTCACCTGCAGGGGGCGCTGAGCTTCAGAGAGAGACCTACTTCACCTGCAGGGGGCGCTGAGCTTCAGAGAGAGACCTACTTCACCTGCAGGGGGCGCTGAGCTTCAGAGAGAGACCTACTTCACCTGCAGGGGGCGCTGAGCTTCAGAGAGAGACCTACTTCACCTGCAGGGGGCGCTGAGCTTCAGAGAGAGACCTACTTCACCTGCAGGGGGCGCTGAGCTTCAGAGAGAGACCTACCTCACCTGCAGGGGGCGCTGAGCTTCAGAGAGAGACCTACTTCACCTGCAGGGGGCGCTGAGCTTCAGAGAGAGACCTACTTCACCTGCAGGGGGCGCTGAGCTTCAGAGAGAGACCTACTTCACCTGCAGGGGGCGCTGAGCTTCAGAGAGAGACCTACTTCACCTGCAGGGGGCGCTGAGCTTCAGAGAGAGACCTACTTCACCTGCAGGGGGCGCTGAGCTTCAGAGAGAGACCTACTTCACCTGCAGGGGGCGCTGAGCTTCAGAGAGAGACCTACTTCACCTGCAGGGGGCGCTGAGCTTCAGAGAGAGACCTACTTCACCTGCAGGGGGCGCTGAGCTTCAGAGGAGACCTACTTCACCTGCAGGGGGCGCTGAGCTTCAGGGGAGACCTACTTCACCTGCAGGGGGCGCTGAGCTTCAGAGGGAGACCTACTTCACCTGCAGGGGGCGCTGAGCTTCAGAGGGAGACCTACTTCACCTGCAGGGGGCGCTGAGCTTCAGAGGGAGACCTACTTCACCTGCAGGGGGCGCTGAGCTTCAGAGGGAGACCTACTTCACCTGCAGGGGGCGCTGAGCTTCAGAGGGAGACCTACTTCACCTGCAGGGGGCGCTGAGCTTCAGAGGGAGACCTACTTCACCTGCAGGGGGCGCTGAGCTTCAGAGGGAGACCTACTTCACCTGCAGGGGGCGCTGAGCTTCAGAGAGAGACCTACTTCACCTGCAGGGGGCGCTGAGCTTCAGAGAGAGACCTACTTCACCTGCAGGGGGCGCTGAGCTTCAGAGAGAGACCTACTTCACCTGCAGGGGGCGCTGAGCTTCAGAGGGAGACCTACTTCACCTGCAGGGGGCGCTGAGCTTCAGAGGGAGACCTACTTCACCTGCAGGGGGCGCTGAGCTTCAGAGGGAGACCTACTTCACCTGCAGGGGGCGCTGAGCTTCAGAGAGAGACCTACTTCACCTGCAGGGGGCGCTGAGCTTCAGAGGGAGACCTACTTCACCTGCAGGGGGCGCTGAGCTTCAGAGGGAGACCTACTTCACCTGCAGGGGGCGCTGAGCTTCAGAGGGAGACCTACTTCACCTGCAGGGGGCGCTGAGCTTCAGAGGGAGACCTACTTCACCTGCAGGGGGCGCTGAGCTTCAGAGGGAGACCTACTTCACCTGCAGGGGGCGCTGAGCTTCAGAGGGAGACCTACTTCACCTGCAGGGGGCGCTGAGCTTCAGAGGGAGACCTACTTCACCTGCAGGGGGCGCTGAGCTTCAGAGAGAGACCTACTTCACCTGCAGGGGGCGCTGAGCTTCAGAGAGAGACCTACTTCACCTGCAGGGGGCGCTGAGCTTCAGAGAGAGACCTACTTCACCTGCAGGGGGCGCTGAGCTTCAGAGAGAGACCTACTTCACCTGCAGGGGGCGCTGAGCTTCAGAGAGAGACTTCTACTTCACCTGCAGGGGGCGCTGAGCTTCAGAGAGAGACCTACTTCACCTGCAGGGGGCGCTGAGCTTCAGAGAGAGACCTACTTCACCTGCAGGGGGCGCTGAGCTTCAGAGAGAGACCTACTTCACCTGCAGGGGGCGCTGAGCTTCAGAGAGAGACCTACTTCACCTGCAGGGGGCGCTGAGCTTCAGAGAGAGACCTACTTCACCTGCAGGGGGTGCTGAGCTTCAGAGAAGAGACCTACTTCACCTGCAGGGGGCGCTGAGCTTCAGAGAGAGACCTACTTCACCTGCAGGGGGCGCTGAGCTTCAGAGAGAGACCTACTCACCTGCAGGGGGCGCTGAGCTTCAGAGAGAGACCTACTTCACCTGCAGGGGGTGCTGAGCTTCAGAGAGAGACCTACTTCACCTGCAGGGGGCGCTGAGCTTCAGAGAGAGACCTACTTCACCTGCAGGGGGCGCTGAGCTTCAGAGGGAGACCTACTTCACCTGCAGGGGGCGCTGAGCTTCAGAGAGAGACCTACTTCACCTGCAGGGGGCGCTGAGCTTCAGAGAGAGACCTACTTCACCTGCAGGGGGCGCTGAGCTTCAGCGGGAGACCTACTTCACCTGCAGGGGGCGCTGAGCTTCAGAGAGAGACCTACTTCACCTGCAGGGGGCGCTGAGCTTCAGAGAGAGACCTACTTCACCTGCAGGGGGCGCTGAGCTTCAGAGGGAGACCTACTTCACCTGCAGGGGGCGCTGAGCTTCAGAGGGAGACCTACTTCACCTGCAGGGGGCGCTGAGCTTCAGAGGGAGACCTACTTCACCTGCAGGGGGCGCTGAGCTTCAGAGGGAGACCTACTTCACCTGCAGGGGGCGCTGAGCTTCAGAGAGAGACCTACTTCACCTGCAGGGGGCGCTGAGCTTCAGAGGGAGACCTACTTCACCTGCAGGGGGCGCTGAGCTTCAGAGGGAGACCTACTTCACCTGCAGGGGGCGCTGAGCTTCAGAGAGAGACCTACTTCACCTGCAGGGGGCGCTGAGCTTCAGAGGGAGACCTACTTCACCTGCAGGGGGCGCTGAGCTTCAGAGGGAGACCTACTTCACCTGCAGGGGGCGCTGAGCTTCAGAGGGAGACCTACTTCACCTGCAGGGGGCGCTGAGCTTCAGAGAGAGACCTACTTCACCTGCAGGGGGCGCTGAGCTTCAGAGGGAGACCTACTTCACCTGCAGGGGGCGCTGAGCTTCAGAGGGAGACCTACTTCACCTGCAGGGGGCGCTGAGCTTCAGAGGGAGACCTACTTCACCTGCAGGGGGCGCTGAGCTTCAGAGGGAGACCTACTTCACCTGCAGGGGGCGCTGAGCTTCAGAGAGAGACCTACTTCACCTGCAGGGGGCGCTGAGCTTCAGAGAGAGACCTACTTCACCTGCAGGGGGCGCTGAGCTTCAGAGAGAGACCTACTTCACCTGCAGGGGGTGCTGAGCTTCAGAGAGAGACCTACTTCACCTGCAGGGGGCGCTGAGCTTCAGAGAGAGACCTACTTCACCTGCAGGGGGCGCTGAGCTTCAGAGAGAGACCTACCTCACCTGCAGGGGGCGCTGAGCTTCAGAGAGAGACCTACTTCACCTGCAGGGGGTGCTGAGCTTCAGAGAGAGACCTACTTCACCTGCAGGGGGCGCTGAGCTTCAGAGAGAGACCTACTTCACCTGCAGGGGGCGCTGAGCTTCAGAGAGAGACCTACTTCACCTGCAGGGGGCGCTGAGCTTCAGAGAGAGACCTACTTCACCTGCAGGGGGCGCTGAGCTTCAGAGAGAGACCTACTTCACCTGCAGGGGGCGCTGAGCTTCAGAGAGAGACCTACTTCACCTGCAGGGGGCGCTGAGCTTCAGAGGGAGACCTACTTCACCTGCAGGGGGCGCTGAGCTTCAGAGAGAGACCTACTTCACCTGCAGGGGGCGCTGAGCTTCAGAGAGAGACCTACTTCACCTGCAGGGGGCGCTGAGCTTCAGAGAGAGACCTACTTCACCTGCAGGGGGCGCTGAGCTTCAGAGGGAGACCTACTTCACCTGCAGGGGGCGCTGAGCTTCAGAGAGAGACCTACTTCACCTGCAGGGGGCGCTGAGCTTCAGAGAGAGACCTACTTCACCTGCAGGGGGCGCTGAGCTTCAGAGAGAGACCTACTTCACCTGCAGGGGGCGCTGAGCTTCAGAGGGAGACCTACTTCACCTGCAGGGGGCGCTGAGCTTCAGAGAGAGACCTACTTCACCTGCAGGGGGCGCTGAGCTTCAGAGAGAGACCTACTTCACCTGCAGGGGGCGCTGAGCTTCAGAGGGAGACCTACTTCACCTGCAGGGGGCGCTGAGCTTCAGAGGGAGACCTACTTCACCTGCAGGGGGCGCTGAGCTTCAGAGGGAGACCTACTTCACCTGCAGGGGGCGCTGAGCTTCAGAGGGAGACCTACTTCACCTGCAGGGGGCGCTGAGCTTCAGAGGGAGACCTACTTCACCTGCAGGGGGCGCTGAGCTTCAGAGGGAGACCTACTTCACCTGCAGGGGCGCTGAGCTTCAGAGGAGAGACCTACTTCACCTGCAGGGGGCGCTGAGCTTCAGAGAGAGACCTACTTCACCTGCAGGGGGCGCTGAGCTTCAGAGAGAGACCTACTTCACCTGCAGGGGGCGCTGAGCTTCAGAGAGAGACCTACTTCACCTGCAGGGGGCGCTGAGCTTCAGAGAGAGACCTACTTCACCTGCAGGGGGCGCTGAGCTTCAGAGAGAGACCTACTTCACCTGCAGGGGGCGCTGAGCTTCAGAGAGAGACCTACTTCACCTGCAGGGGGCGCTGAGCTTCAGAGAGAGACCTACTTCACCTGCAGGGGGCGCTGAGCTTCAGAGAGAGACCTACTTCACCTGCAGGGGGCGCTGAGCTTCAGAGAGAGACCTACTTCACCTGCAGGGGGCGCTGAGCTTCAGAGGAGACCTACTTCACCTGCAGGGGGCGCTGAGCTTCAGAGAGAGACCTACTTCACCTGCAGGGGGCGCTGAGCTTCAGAGGGAGACCTACTTCACCTGCAGGGGGCGCTGAGCTTCAGAGAGAGACCTACTTCACCTGCAGGGGGCGCTGAGCTTCAGAGGGAGACCTACTTCACCTGCAGGGGGCGCTGAGCTTCAGAGAGAGACCTACTTCACCTGCAGGGGGCGCTGAGCTTCAGAGAGAGACCTACTTCACCTGCAGGGGGCGCTGAGCTTCAGAGGGAGACCTACTTCACCTGCAGGGGGCGCTGAGCTTCAGAGGGAGACCTACTTCACCTGCAGGGGGCGCTGAGCTTCAGAGGGAGACCTACTTCACCTGCAGGGGGCGCTGAGCTTCAGAGGGAGACCTACTTCACCTGCAGGGGGCGCTGAGCTTCAGAGGGAGACCTACTTCACCTGCAGGGGGCGCTGAGCTTCAGAGAGAGACCTAAACCAGGACATAAACCCGGCTTTGTTCTGCTCTGACACCGCTGCTCCTGCTCTGCTGTCCCCGCTGGAGAGACGCCTGTTCCCCGGGCTAAGTACACACGTGGATCCGATGAAAACAAACCAGGACAGGGGCGGTGCGCATGCATGAGGGGCCCTGCGCATGCACGAGAGGCCCTGCGCATGCACGAGGGGCCCTGCGCATGCATGAGAGGCCCTGCGCATGCACGAGGGGCCCTGCGCATGCACGAGGGGCCCTGCGCATGCACGAGGGGCCCTGCGCATGCACGAGAGGCCCTGCGCATGCACGAGAGGCCCTGCGCATGCATGAGAGGCCCTGCGCATGCACGAGAGGCCCTGCGCATGCACGAGGGGCCCTGCGCATGCACGAGGGGCCCTGCGCATGCACGAGAGGCCCTGCGCATGCACGAGGGGCCCTGCGCATGCACGAGAGGCCCTGCGCATGCATGAGAGGCCCTGCGCATGCATGAGAGGCCCTGCGCATGCACGAGGGGCCCTGCGCATGCACGAGAGGCCCTGCGCATGCAAGAGAGGCCCTGCGCATGCACAAGGGGCCCTGCGCATGCACGAGAGGCCCTGCGCATGCACGAGGGGCCCTGCGCATGCACGAGAGGCCCTGCGCATGCACGAGAGGCCCTGCGCATGCACGAGAGGCCCTGCGCATGCACGAGAGGCCCTGCGCATGCACGAGGGGCCCTGCGCATGCACGAGGGGCCCTGCGCATGCACGAGAGGCCCTGCGCATGCACGAGAGGCCCTGCGCATGCACGAGAGGCCCTGCGCATGCACGAGGGGCCCTGCGCATGGACGAGGGGCCCTGCGCATGCACGAGGGGCCCTGCGCATGCACGAGAGGCCCTGCGCATGCACGAGGGGCCCTGCGCATGCACGAGAGGCCCTGCGCATGCACGAGGGGCCCTGCGCATGCACGAGAGGCCCTGCGCATGCACGAGGGGCCCTGCGCATGCACGAGGGGCCCTGCGCATGCACGAGGGGCCCTGCGCATGCATGAGAGGCCCTGCGCATGCACGAGAGGCCCTGCGCATGCACGAGGGGCCCTGCGCATGCACGAGGGGCCCTGCGCATGCACGAGGGGCCCTGCGCATGCACGAGGGGCCCTGCGCATGCATGAGAGGCCCTGCGCATGCATGAGAGGCCCTGCGCATGCATGAGAGGCCCTGCGCATGCATGAGAGGCCCTGCGCATGCATGAGGGGGGTAACAATTCTACTGAGGATAACAGCAATGATGATAATAATAATGCATTATTATTTAGTGCTTTTTTGGATAATCAAAGACTATTCATACACAATGGTGATAAGCTGCTACTACTGTAGCCACAGCTGCCACAGCTGCCACGGCTGCCCTGGGGCATGTAGCTTTCACTACAGTTGTTCCTGTAGCAGTAGATCACCAAAGTCAATTCAGAGTTTGGTTCATAAACAGAAACAGGAAACTGCCGTATCATTGGATCAGTACCAGAGAGTCCTGGGCAGAGACTCAGACCCCTCCTGTCCGCACACAATTTTTAGAAAAGTTTATAAAAATTAGAAAGTTGGAATGTTTACTGTAATAAACTAAAAGCTCTGGTTCAATCAAACACAGTTGAAGAAAGATGCTCAAAGAAGAACTGAACCATACGATGTCAGCGGTTTGTGGCAATAAGAACCAAAGTCATCTCTGGAAATCACAATAATTTACTAAAACTCTTCAAACACTTCACAGAATCCACACAGGACCAGGTCCTGGTCGGTCCAGGTCAGTCCAGGTCAGTCCTGGTCAGTCCTGGTCACTGCTGGTCGGTCCTGGTCGGTCCAGGTCAGTCCGAGTCAGTCCCGGGTCAGTCCCGGGTCAGTCCTGGTGCTCGTGCTCCTGTCCGGGGATGAGCCAGCGGATGCTGTCGGTGCGGAGTGTGGCGTATAGACTGAAGCCGGTGATGAAGAGGACGGAGAAGACCAGGAGCCAGTCCACCCCCCTCTGAGGCACGGCCCGGAGGGGGCCCTCCAGGTCCTGCTCTGTCACGCTCAGGTCCGGCTCTGCCACAAACCCTGAGGGACACAGACACTCTGATATAACAGATATATACCAAAGGCTACATCCATCCATCCATTTTCTTCCCTTTAATCCATTTCTGGGTCAGGGGGGTGGTAGTCAGAGATGCCACCCAAGTCTCATAGCACCAGCCCCTCACTGACCCTCTGCAGGTGGTGAGTCCACAGGAGGACGGCTGCTCTCTGACTGTGAGCATAGCCTTGATCTTTCAGTGGGGGCTTTGGGCAAAGTGGGGTTAAGTGTCTTGCCCAAGGACACAACGACAGCAGTCATCAGTGGGAGTCGGTGGAGAAGGTGTAGAGGTGGGAATTGAACCCACGACCTTCAGGCCTGAAGGCCAATGCTCTACCAACTGAGCTACTGTCGCCCCAAAGGCTACATGCTAACGGCTAACTGTTGCTATGGTAACTAGTACTGCCTCTTCTCTGGTGGAAAACCAAGCTGTCCAGGCTCAGAACCAAGACCAGGACCGGTCCAAGACCAGGACCGGTCCAAGACCAGGACCGGTCCAAGTCCAGGACCGGTCCAAGACCGGTCCAAGACCGGTCCAAGACCAAGACCGGTCCAAGACCGGTCCAAGACCAAGACCGGTCCAAGACCGGTCCAAGACCAAGACCGGTCCAAGTCCAAGACCAAGACCAGTCCAAGATCAGGACCGGTCCAAGACCAAGACCGGTCCAAGTCCAAGACCAAGACCAGTCCAAGATCAGGACCGGTCCAAGACCAAGACCGGTCCAAGTCCAAGACCAAGACCAGTCCAAGACCAGGACCGGTCCAAGACCAGGACCGGCCCAAGACCAGGACCGGCCCAAGACCGGCCCAAGACCAGGACCAGTCCAAGACCAGGACCAGTCCAAGACCAGGACCAGTCCAAGACCAGGACCAGTCCAAGACCAGGACCAGTCCAAGACCAGGACCAGTCCAAGACCAGGACCAGTCCAAGACCAGGACCAGTCCAAGATCAGGACCAGTCCAAGATAAGCACCAGTCCAAGATCAGGACCAGTCCAAGATAAGGGTGAGGCGGAGTGAGAAGGGGGAGTGTGAGAAGGGGGGGAGAGAGTGAGAAGGGGGAGAGTGAGAAGGGGGAGAGTGAGAAGGGGGAGAGTGAGAAGGGGGAGAGTGAGAAGGGGGAGAGTGAGAAGGGGGAGAGTGAGAAGGGGGAGAGTGAGAAGGGGGAGAGGAGAGAAGGGGGAGAGTGAGAAGGGGGAGAGTGAGAAGGGGAGGGGGAGAGTGAGAAGGGGGAGTGTGAGAAGGGGGAGTGTGAGAAGGGGGAGAGTGAGAAGGGGGAGAGTGAGAAGGGGGAGAGTGAGAAGGGGGAGAGTGAGAAGGGGGAGAGTGAGAAGGGGGAGAGTGAGAAGGGGGAGTGTGAGACGGGGGAGGCGGGGGAGAGAACAGACCGGTCTGATTGGTGATGAAGGAGGTGAGCGTCTGCAGAGTCCTGTCCGTGTGGTTGAATCTGGCCATGGGCTTCGCTCCCTGGAACAGCAGGATGTTTGGCACTGCCACCGTCCCGAACCTGGTGGAGAGGCTGCGGAGGAGGAGGAGCGGGTCAGAATTCCACCATTACATCCACAGTCCACAGGTGGCGCCGTACTGAAGGATTCTTTCCTTGTATCAGCCGAGAGGCGTCTCACCTGCCGCGCCGAGAGGCGTCTCACCTGCCGAGAGGCGTCTCACCTGCCGAGAGGCGTCTCACCTGCTGCGCCGAGAGGCGTCTCACCTGCTGCGCCGAGAGGCGTCTCACCTGCCGAGAGGCGTCTCACCTGCCGAGAGGCGTCTCACCTGCTGTGCTGAGAGGCGTCTCACCTGCCGAGAGGCGTCTCACCTGCTGCGCCGAGAGGCGTCTCACCTGCTGCGCCGAGAGGCGTCTCACCTGCTGCGCCGAGAGGCGTCTCACCTGCCGAGAGGCGTCTCACCTGCTGTGCTGAGAGGCGTCTCACCTGCCGAGAGGCGTCTCACCTGCTGCGCCGAGAGGCGTCTCACCTGCTGCGCCGAGAGACGTCTCACCTGCTGCGCCGAGAGGCGTCTCACCTGCCGAGAGGCGTCTCACCTGCTGTGCCGAGAGGCGTCTCACCTGCTGTGCCGAGAGGCGTCTCACCTGCTGTGCCGAGAGGCGTCTCACCTGCTGTGCCGAGAGGCGTCTCACCTGCTGTGCCGAGAGGCGTCTCACCTGCCGAGAGGCGTCTCACCTGCCGTGCGAGAGGCGTCTCACCTGCCGTGCCGAGAGGCGTCTCACCTGCCGAGAGGCGTCTCACCTGCCGAGAGGCGTCTCACCTGCCGAGAGGCGTCTCACCTGCCGAGAGGCGTCTCACCTGCTGCGCCGAGAGGCGTCTCACCTGCTGCGCCGAGAGGCGTCTCACCTGCTGCGCCGAGAGGCGTCTCACCTGCTGCGCCGAGAGGCGTCTCACCTGCTGCGCCGAGAGGCGTCTCACCTGCTGCGCCGAGAGGCGTCTCACCTGCTGCGCCGAGAGGCGTCTCACCTGCTGCGCCGAGAGGCGTCTCACCTGCTGCGCCGAGAGGCGTCTCACCTGCCGAGAGGCGTCTCACCTGCCGAGAGGCGTCTCACCTGCCGAGAGGCGTCTCACCTGCTGCGCCGAGAGGCGTCTCACCTGCTGCGCCGAGAGGCGTCTCACCTGCCGAGAGGCGTCTCACCTGCCGAGAGGCGTCTCACCTGCTGTGCTGAGAGGCGTCTCACCTGCCGAGAGGCGTCTCACCTGCTGCGCCGAGAGGCGTCTCACCTGCTGCGCCGAGAGGCGTCTCACCTGCTGCGCCGAGAGGCGTCTCACCTGCCGAGAGGCGTCTCACCTGCCGAGAGGCGTCTCACCTGCCGAGAGGCGTCTCACCTGCCGAGAGGCGTCTCACCTGCCGAGAGGCGTCTCACCTGCTGCGCCGAGAGGCGTCTCACCTGCTGCGCCGAGAGGCGTCTCACCTGCTGCGCCGAGAGGCGTCTCACCTGCTGCGCCGAGAGGCGTCTCACCTGCTGCGCCGAGAGGCGTCTCACCTGCTGCGCCGAGAGGCGTCTCACCTGCTGCGCCGAGAGGCGTCTCACCTGCTGCGCCGAGAGGCGTCTCACCTGCTGCGCCGAGAGGCGTCTCACCTGCTGCGCCGAGAGGCGTCTCACCTGCTGCGCCGAGAGGCGTCTCACCTGCTGCGCCGAGAGGCGTCTCACCTGCTGCGCCGAGAGGCGTCTCACCTGCTGCGCCGAGAGGCGTCTCACCTGCTGCGCCGAGAGGCGTCTCACCTGCTGCGCCGAGAGGCGTCTCACCTGCTGCGCCGAGAGGCGTCTCACCTGCTGCGCCGAGAGGCGTCTCACCTGCCGAGAGGCGTCTCACCTGCTGTGCCGAGAGGCGTCTCACCTGCCGAGAGGCGTCTCACCTGCTGCGCCGAGAGGCGTCTCACCTGCTGCGCCGAGAGGCGTCTCACCTGCCGAGAGGCGTCTCACCTGCCGAGAGGCGTCTCACCTGCCGAGAGGCGTCTCACCTGCCGAGAGGCGTCTCACCTGCTGCGCCGAGAGGCGTCTCACCTGCTGCGCCGAGAGGCGTCTCACCTGCCGAGAGGCGTCTCACCTGCCGAGAGGCGTCTCACCTGCTGCGCCGAGAGGCGTCTCACCTGCTGCGCCGAGAGGCGTCTCACCTGCTGCGCCGAGAGGCGTCTCACCTGCTGCGCCGAGAGGCGTCTCACCTGCTGCGCCGAGAGGCGTCTCACCTGCTGCGCCGAGAGGCGTCTCACCTGCTGCGCCGAGAGGCGTCTCACCTGCCGAGAGGCGTCTCACCTGCCGAGAGGCGTCTCACCTGCTGTGCTGAGAGGCGTCTCACCTGCCGAGAGGCGTCTCACCTGCTGTGCTGAGAGGCGTCTCACCTGCTGTGCCGAGAGGCGTCTCACCTGCTGTGCCGAGAGGCGTCTCACCTGCTGTGCCGAGAGGCGTCTCACCTGCTGTGCCGAGAGGCGTCTCACCTGCTGTGCTGAGGCGTCTCACCTGCTGTGCTGAGGCGTCTCACCTGCTGTGCTGAGAGACGTCTCACCTGCTGTGCTGAGAGACGTCTCACCTGCTGTGCTGAGAGACGTCTCACCTGCTGTGCTGAGAGACGTCTCACCTGCTGTGCTGAGAGACGTCTCACCTGCTGTGCTGAGAGACGTCTCACCTGCTGTGCTGAGAGGCGTCCAGAGCCAGGAAGTGCATGATGGGAAAGACTCGAGGGAGAGCGTTAAAGTGAGGAGCCAACGAGGCTGAGAACTGGCACCAGGAGGTGAAGAACAGAACCACAGAACATTCAGAACTGTTCACACTCAGGAACTCCATCAGGTCCTGCAGAGGAGAGAGGAGGAGAAGGAGGGGAGGGGAGGGGAGGGGAGGAGGTGAAAATGACATAAATATGTTTATATTGTTTCCATTACTGCATGTATGAGAAGCTCTTTGAGACCCTGTGTGTGTAAAGTGCTGTATAAAGAGACTGACCTGAGACCCTGTGTGTGTAAAGTGCTGTATAAAGAGACTGACCTGAAACCCTGTGTGTGTAAAGTGCTGTATAGAGAGACTGACCTGAAACCCTGTGTGTGTAAAGTGCTGTATAGAGAGACTGACCTGAAACCCTGTGTGTGTAAAGTGCTGTATAAAGAGACTGACCTGAAACCCTGTGTGTGTAAAGTGCTGTATAAAGAGACTGACCTGAAACCCTGTGTGTGTAAAGTGCTGTATAAAGAGACTGACCTGAGACCCTGTGTGTGTAAAGTGCTGTATAAAGAGACTGACCTGAAACCCTGTGTGTGTAAAGTGCTGTACAAAGTGCTGACCTGAAACCCTGTGTGTGTAAAGTGCTGTACAAAGAGACTGACCTGAAACCCTGTGTGTGTAAAGTGCTGTACAAAGAGACTGACCTGAAACCCTGTGTGTGTAAAGTGCTGTATAGAGAGACTGACCTGAAACCCTGTGTGTGTAAAGTGCTGTATAAAGAGACTGACCTGAAACCCTGTGTGTGTAAAGTGCTGTATAAAGAGACTGACCTGAAACCCTGTGTGTGTAAAGTGCTGTATAAAGAGACTGACCTGAAACCCTGTGTGTGTAAAGTGCTGTACAAAGTGCTGACCTGAAACCCTGTGTGTGTAAAGTGCTGTACAAAGTGCTGACCTGAAACCCTGTGTGTGTAAAGTGCTGTACAAAGTGCTGACCTGAAACCCTGTGTGTGTAAAGTGCTGTATAAAGAGACTGACCTGAAACCCTGTGTGTGTAAAGTGCTGTACAAAGTGCTGACCTGAAACCCTGTGTGTGTAAAGTGCTGTACAAAGTGCTGACCTGAGACCCTGTGTGTGTAAAGTGCTGTACAAAGTGCTGACCTGAGACCCTGTGTGTGTAAAGTGCTGTATAAAGAGACTGACCTGAAACCCTGTGTGTGTAAAGTGCTGTACAAAGTGCTGACCTGAAACCCTGTGTGTGTAAAGTGCTGTACAAAGTGCTGACCTGAGACCCTGTGTGTGTAAAGTGCTGTACAAAGTGCTGACCTGGGAGGCGTTGAGCACTTGGACAGAGAACAGGTCGACTCCCGTCACGTTTCTTTTGTCGCAGGTGACTTTAAACGTCTTTGTGGTTTCTGTGGTGTTTTCCTTTGGAGCAGGCATGTATCCGCGCAAAATCACGATAGAAACCTGCACAAACACATGTGACATCACAACCATCACGACCACTCCTCCTGACAGAGACAGTGTTACCACGGAGACCGCTGCTCCTGACAGAGACAGTGTTACCACGGCGACCGCTGCTCCTGACAGAGACAGTGTTACCACAGAGACCACTGCTCCTGACAGAGACAGTGTTACCACAGAGACCACTGCTCCTGACAGAGACAGTGTTACCATGGCGACCACTGCTCCTGACAGAGACAGTGTTACCACGGAGACCACTGTTCCTGACAGAGACAGTGTTACCACAGAGACCGCTGCTCCTGACAGAGACAGTGTTACCACAGAGACCGCTGCTCCTGACAGAGACAGTGTTACCACAGAGACCGCTGCTCCTGACAGAGACAGTGTTACCACAGAGACCACTGCTCCTGACAGAGACAGTGTTACCACGGAGACCACTGCTCCTGACAGAGACAGTGTTACCACAGAGACCACTGCTCCTGACAGAGACAGTGTTACCACAGAGACCGCTGCTCCTGACAGAGACAGTGTTACCACGGCGACCGCTGCTCCTGACAGAGACAGTGTTACCACAGAGACCGCTGCTCCTGACAGAGACAGTGTTACCACAGAGACCGCTGCTCCTGACAGAGACAGTGTTACCACAGAGACCGCTGCTCCTGACAGAGACAGTGTTACCACAGAGACCGCTGCTCCTGACAGAGACAGTGTTACCACAGAGACCACTGCTCCTGACAGAGACAGTGTTACCACAGAGACCACTGCTCCTGACAGAGACAGTGTTACCACGGAGACCACTGCTCCTGACAGAGACAGTGTTACCACAGAGACCGCTGCTCCTGACAGAGACAGTGTTACCACAGAGACCACTGCTCCTGACAGAGACAGTGTTACCATGGCGACCACTGCTCCTGACAGAGACAGTGTTACCACAGAGACCACTGCTCCTGACAGAGACAGTGTTACCACAGAGACCGCTGCTCCTGACAGAGACAGTGTTACCACAGAGACCGCTGCTCCTGACAGAGACAGTGTTACCACAGAGACCGCTGCTCCTGACAGAGACAGTGTTACCACAGAGACCGCTGCTCCTGACAGAGACAGTGTTACCACAGAGACCGCTGCTCCTGACAGAGACAGTGTTACCACGAGACCACTGCTCCTGACAGAGACAGTGTTACCACGAGACCGCTGCTCCTGACAGAGACAGTGTTACCACGGACCCTGCTCCTGACAGAGACAGTGTTACCACAGAGACGGCCCACTGCGCGCCTGACAGAGACAGTGTTACCACAGAGACCGCTGCTCCTGACAGAGACAGTGTTACCACAGAGACCGCTGCTCCTGACAGAGACAGTGTTACCACAGAGACCGCTGCTCCTGACAGAGACAGTGTTACCACAGAGACCGCTGCTCCTGACAGAGACAGTGTTACCACAGAGACCGCTGCTCCTGACAGAGACAGTGTTACCACAGAGACCACTGCTCCTGACAGAGACAGTGTTACCACGAGACCGCTGCTCCTGACAGAGACAGTGTTACCACGGAGACCACTGCTCCTGACAGAGACAGTGTTACCACAGAGACCGCTGCTCCTGACAGAGACAGTGTTACCACAGAGACCGCTGCTCCTGACAGAGACAGTGTTACCACAGAGACCACTGCTCCTGACAGAGACAGTGTTACCACAGAGACCGCTGCTCCTGACAGAGACAGTGTTACCACAGAGACCACTGCTCCTGACAGAGACAGTGTTACCACGGAGACCACTGCTCCTGACAGAGACAGTGTTACCACAGAGACCACTGCTCCTGACAGAGACAGTGTTACCACAGAGACCACTGCTCCTGACAGAGACAGTGTTACCACAGAGACCACTGCTCCTGACAGAGACAGTGTTACTACAGAGACCGCTGCTCCTGACAGAGACAGTGTTACCACAGAGACCACTGCTCCTGACAGAGACAGTGTTACCACGGAGACCACTGCTCCTGACAGAGACAGTGTTACCACAGAGACCACTGCTCCTGACAGAGACAGTGTTACCACGGCGACCACTGCTCCTGACAGAGACAGTGTTACCACGGCGACCACTGCTCCTGACAGAGACAGTGTTACCACGGAGACCACTGCTCCTGACAGAGACAGTGTTACCACGGCGACCACTGCTCCTGACAGAGACAGTGTTACCACAGAGACCACTGCTCCTGACAGAGACAGTGTTACCACGGAGACCACTGCACCTGACAGAGACAGTGTTACCACGGCGACCACTGCTCCTGACAGAGACAGTGTTACCACGGAGACCACTGCACCTGACAGAGACAGTGTTACCACAGAGACCGCTGCTCCTGACAGAGACAGTGTTACCACAGAGACCGCTGCTCCTGACAGAGACAGTGTTACCACGGAGACCACTGCTCCTGACAGAGACAGTGTTACCACAGAGACCACTGCTCCTGACAGAGACAGTGTTACCACAGAGACCGCTGCTCCTGACAGAGACAGTGTTACCACAGAGACCGCTGCTCCTGACAGAGACAGTGTTACCACGGCGACCACTGCTCCTGACAGAGACAGTGTTACCACAGAGACCGCTGCTCCTGACAGAGACAGTGTTACCACAGAGACCACTGCTCCTGACAGAGACAGTGTTACCACGGAGACCACTGCTCCTGACAGAGACAGTGTTACCACAGAGACCGCTGCTCCTGACAGAGACAGTGTTACCACAGAGACCGCTGCTCCTGACAGAGACAGTGTTACCACAGAGACCACTGCTCCTGACAGAGACAGTGTTACCACGGCGACCACTGCTCCTGACAGAGACAGTGTTACCACAGAGACCACTGCTCCTGACAGAGACAGTGTTACCACGGCGACCACTGCTCCTGACAGAGACAGTGTTACTACAGAGACCGCTGCTCCTGACAGAGACAGTGTTACCACAGAGACCACTGCTCCTGACAGAGACAGTGTTACCACGGCGACCACTGCTCCTGACAGAGACAGTGTTACCACGGAGACCACTGCTCCTGACAGAGACAGTGTTACCACAGAGACCACTGCTCCTGACAGAGACAGTGTTACCACAGAGACCGCTGCTCCTGACAGAGACAGTGTTACCACAGAGACCACTGCTCCTGACAGAGACAGTGTTACCACGGCGACCACTGCTCCTGACAGAGACAGTGTTACCACAGAGACCACTGCTCCTGACAGAGACAGTGTTACCACGGCGACCACTGCTCCTGACAGAGACAGTGTTACCACAGAGACCACTGCTCCTGACAGAGACAGTGTTACCACGGAGACCACTGCTCCTGACAGAGACAGTGTTACCACAGAGACCACTGCTCCTGACAGAGACAGTGTTACCACGGAGACCACTGCTCCTGACAGAGACAGTGTTACCACGGAGACCGCTGCTCCTGACAGTATTGTGGATGGGTCAAATGCAGAGCACAAAAACAAGTACAACTAAAGCAGCATCGTCAGAACAGACCTATGTATTAGAGGAAGAACAGAAGAACACGGTCTGTTCACATATGAAAGGAGGAGCAAGAAACAGGAAGAAAAGAGGAGAGAGAGAGGGGCGAGAGAGGAAAGAAGTAGAAGAGAGAGGAGGAAGGAAAGAAGAGGAGAGGAACAAGCAGGAGAGGATTTGAGGAGAGAGAGGATCTGAGGAGAGGAGAGGAGAGAGAGGATTTGAGGAGAGAGAGGATCTGAGGAGAGAGAGGATCTGAGGAGAGGAGAGGAGAGAGAGGATATGAGGAGAGAGAGGATATGAGGAGAGAGAGGATCTGAGGAGAGAGAGGATATGAGGAGAGAGAGGATATGAGGAGAGAGAGGATATGAGGAGAGGAGAGGAGAGAGAGGATCTGAGGAGGAGAGAGGATCTGAGGAGAGGAGAGGATCTGAGGAGAGAGAGGATCTGAGGAGAGAGAGGATCTGAGGAGAGAGAGGATCTGAGGAGAGAGAGGATCTGAGGAGAGGAGAGGATCTGAGGAGAGGAGAGGATCTGAGGAGAGGAGAGGATCTGAGGAGAGAGAGGATCTGAGGAGAGAGAGGATCTGAGGAGAGAGAGGATCTGAGGAGAGAGAGGATCTGAGGAGAGAGAGGATCTGAGGAGAGAGAGGATCTGAGGAGAGAGAGGATGAGGAGAGAGGGATCTGAGGAGAGAGAGGATCTGAGGAGAGAGAGAGGATCTGAGGAGAGAGAGGATCTGAGGAGAGAGAGGATCTGAGGAGAGAGAGGATCTGAGGAGAGAGAGGATCTGAGGAGAGAGAGGATCTGAGGAGAGAGAGGATCTGAGGAGAGAGAGGATCTGAGGAGAGAGAGGATCTGAGGAGAGAGAGGATCTGAGGAGAGAGAGGATCTGAGGAGAGGAGAGGATCTGAGGAGAGAGAGGATCTGAGGAGAGGAGAGGATCTGAGGAGAGAGAGGATCTGAGGAGAGAGAGGATCTGAGGAGAGGAGAGGATCTGAGGAGAGGAGAGGATCTGAGGAGAGGAGAGGATCTGAGGAGAGAGAGGATCTGAGGAGAGAGAGGATCTGAGGAGAGGAGAGGATCTGAGGAGAGAGAGGATCTGAGGAGAGAGAGGATCTGAGGAGAGAGAGAGGATCTGAGGAGAGAGAGGATCTGAGGAGAGAGAGGATCTGAGGAGAGAGAGGATCTGAGGAGAGAGAGGATCTGAGGAGAGAGAGGATCTGAGGAGAGAGAGGATCTGAGGAGAGAGAGGATCTGAGGAGAGAGAGGATCTGAGGAGAGAGAGGATCTGAGGAGAGAGAGGATCTGAGGAGAGAGAGGATATAAGGAGAGGAGAGGAGGAGAGGAGAGTAGGAGAGAAAGGAGAAAAGGAAAGAAGGAGAAGAAAAGGAGAGATGAGGAAAGGAGAGGAGAGAAGTAAAAGGAGAGAGAGAGAGAGAGTAGGAGAGTCCTGACCTCCTCCTCCTCCTCCTCCTGTGCCTCTGCCTCACACTGGTCCTCGTCACACGGAGGAGAGAAACCCTGAGGATTCTGGTGTTTGGGGAACAGGGAGTGGATCTCCGCCGGGTCGATGGCGGCCTCTGTCCCCATCACGGCGTCCGCCATCTCCGCCGTTTTAAACTGTTGCATTTTGGGTAAAGAGTTCACTTCCTCAGACTCCACAAACTTAGGAACGTTCTCCAAGTCTGACTCCTCCGATAGACCAAAGTCCAGCACGGCTTCATTCTCTGGAAAAGACAGAAAAGGTCAAAGTTAAATGCAGTGATGGTTTAGTTTGTCCCATGGTCACAGGAGTCAGCTTGACCTCCAGGCTTTAGTTTGTTTGTCTGGAGGAGGTTTTATCTTTAACCACTTTTAATAAGTACAAACTGGTTCATGTTCATTTCTTTTTTGTCTTTTGTGTTTATTGTTATTCTTCAGTTTGTCACTCTGGATTTTTATTGTCCTTAAATTAAAATAAATCAAATTAAAAAACGGGTTCATGTACATACAAAACATAAAAAATAATGACATAGTAATAATAAACTACATAAAATAAAAAATAGTCAAAGTTCAGAGCACACATGGGCTGTGGCACACATGACTGCTCTGCAAGTTCTAACGCTGATGAGAAGGAACAAGTGTAGCAGAGCTTAGAGCTTTCTGATGGAACTCATTCATGATCAGATTCACTATTAAACCATGTTTGCACATAAAAAGGAGTTAGGGTTCACTCTAGACTTAGTAACAGCCATGAAGAAAATGCATAAGAAGTATTTTATTTCAATAATGTCTTCTGTTGTGAAATGCTATCAGAGTTAGCAGAGTTAGCAACGGGAGCTAACAGGACCCTTACCTTGAGCTGAGGCTGATTTTAAAACCTCTGAGCTATAAAGCATAAAGAAAAAACATGTCCACACGTGAAGGACGTTCAGAGACGTCTTCATTTTGAGTTTGGAAGTGAATAGCAGAGGTTTAAGTCACGACATTATGTAGAAGAGCTGCACAGGCCGGAACCATCGAACTTCAGGCGGAGAGATTTCAGCGTAACACCAGAATAACGGACAAACACGGGACTATCTTCCGCAGTTTTTTATTTCGATTATTTTAAAGGATTATTGTAGATATAATACATCCGCTTTATATAGTGCTTCACGTGGTATTATTAATTCACTCTAAACACGGTGGTGATAAACTACTACTGTAGCCACAGCTGCCCTGGGGCACCCTGACAGAAACGAGGCAGTTTCAGCATGTTTCTACAGCTCACAGACAAAAACAAACTTCCTTCAGAGAGAAAACACACGTCTTATAGATTCCTGTGTTTGTTCTCCTCAGACAACTGTGGAAGTCTGTATTTATCAGCTTTTATTAGAATCAATACAATTATTTGTCATGTAGCCTCAATACTTCTCTAGAACGATAGAGGGCAGTATAGCAACACAGTCCTGGGTCTACAGCCTCAGTCCTGGGTCTACAGCCTCAGTCCTGGGTCTACAGCCTCAGTCCTGGGTCTACAGCCTCAGTCCTGGGTCTACAGCCTCAGTCCTGGGTCTACAGCCTCAGTCCTGGGTCTACAGCCTCAGTCCTGGGTCTACAGCCTCAGTCCTGGGTCTACGGCCTCAGTCCTGGGTCTACAGCCTCAGTCCTGGGTCTACAGCCTCAGTCCTGGGTCTACAGCCTCAGTCCTGGGTCTACAGCCTCAGTCCTGGGTCTACAGCCTCAGTCCTGGGTCTACAGCCTCAGTCCTGGGTCTACAGCCTCAGTCCTGGGTCTACAGCCTCAGTCCTGGGTCTATAGCCTCATTTTGACCTCAAGGACCACACACAGAGTCACATCCTGCTGTCGTCACCTGTTTATGACGGTTCCATCTGCTCTGAGCTCCGTCAAGTTCAGAGACACAACACGTTTGATTATCAACTAACAACGTCCAACTAACGACTATCAACTATCACCTAACGACTAATGACTATCAACTACTAGCTCACTCTACCAACTAACAACTATCACCTATCAACTAACAACTATCAACTATCAACTACCAACTAACAACAACCAACTATCAACTACCAACTAACAACAACCAACTATCAACTACCAACTAACAACAACCAACTATCAAGTAACGACTATCGACTATCAACTAACAACTCTCAAATACCAACTATCAACCGACAGCTACCAACTATCAACTAACAACTACCAACTTCACTGGAGATAACTAATGAAACGTGTGAACGATTTGTCTCCTTTTTTAATGACAAGGTTGCTTCTATTCGAGCCAATCTAGCTCCTTCATCATTGAGTTTTAACATGGCTACTCGATGTTCTGCCGTTTTTAGTCAGTTTGTGTCAGTGTCCATGTCTGTGTTGACTGAGATGATGAGCAAACTCAAACCTTCGTCCTGTCCCACGGACCCAGTCCCTCCTCGCTTTTTTAAAGAGGTTTGGGGCACTATTGGCTCTTCTGTGAGGGACATCATCAACAGCAGCTTGCTAACTGGCAATGTGCCTTCCTTTTGTAAAGGCGCTGTTGTTGAGCCTTTGATAAAAAAAAAAGCAGGTCTTGATCCCATGGTTTTATCAAATTATCGCCCCATTTCAAAACTACCCTTTGTTTCAAAAATATTGGAGAAATGTGTTTTGGCACAACTGCAACCTTTTTTAAATGAAAACAGCACTTTAGACCCATTTCAGTCTGGATATAAAGCTTTGCACAGTACTGAATCTGCACTTTTAAAGGTTTTTAATGATTTGCTTTTATTGACTGATTCTGGAGGCTCCACCATTTTAGTGCTTTTAGATCTTACTGCTGCTTTTGACACTGTTGACCACACAATTCTTTTAGACCGCCTGAGAGATTGTGTGGGCGTCAGGGGGACTGCTTTGGAGTGGTTCAGGTCCTACCTGTCGGAGAGGTCTTTCTCAGTCAGGCTGGGGGATGCCACATCTTCTTCTGCCTCACTTTATTGTGGTGTCCCTCAAGGATCTATCTTGGGACCTATCCTTTTTGCACTCTATCTCCTCCCACTTGGGGAGATTTTTAACAGACACGGAGTGTCCTATCACTTTTATGCAGATGACTGCCAAATTTATATGCCAATTTCGAGAGGCCATGCCCCCCTGCTCAACTGTCTATGTGACGTCAAGGCTTGGTTAGCCCAGAATTTTTTAGTAATGAATGAGGGAAAAATGGAAATTTTAACATTTGGACCGGCCCTTACTGACTTGGGACCACTAGGAAATTATGTGCGTTCCAAAGTCACCAGCCTTGGCGTGACTATAGACAGTGATTTTAAATTTGACAAACAAGTGAATGGCGTTTTAAAATCGTGTTTTTATCATCTTCGGCTTTTATCAAAAGTGAAGCCATTCTTATCTTTTAACTTGTTAGAACAGGTTGTGCATGCTTTTATTTCCAGTCGTCTGGACTACTGCAACGCACTTTATGCTGGTGTCAATCAGAAAACCCTCTCCCGGTTGCAGTTGGTCCAGAACGCAGCAGCAAGACTTTTAACGGGGGCCAGAAAGCGCGAACACATCACCCCTGTACTCGCGTCTTTGCACTGGCTCCCTGTTCATTTTAGAATTGATTTTAAAATTTTACTGTTTGTTTTTAAATCTTTGCACGGACAGGCCCCTGATTACATCTCGGACCTCATCCAAATGTACACTCCTGCGCGCGCCCTGAGGTCCGAGAGCCAGCTCCAGCTCGTGGTCCCTAACGCGAGACTTAAAACCCGGGGACAGAGCCTTCTCTGTGGTCGGCCCTAAGCTCTGGAACGCTCTGCCCCTCCATGTCCGGACGGCCCCCACAGTAGAGTGTTTTAAGTCTCGTCTTAAGACCCACTTTTACTCTTTGGCTTTTAACACTGTGTGAGTTGTGTGGTCCTCTGTGTTTTTATTTTTCTATTTATGGTTTTAATCTGTTTTATATATTTTTATTCTTTTATACTTGGTGAAGCTAAGGATAAGTTGTTATTTATTTTATACTTTTTTGTGCAGCACTTTGGAAACGTAACTGTTGTTTAAATGTGCTATATAAATAAAGTGGATTGGATTGGATTGAACTATCAACTAACAACTACCAACTATTTAAGTAACTACTATCGACCAACAACTACCAACTATCAACTAACAACTATCAACTAACGGCTAACAACTACCAACTAATAACTCAACTATCAACCAACAACTACCAACTATCAACTACCAACTATCAACCAACAACTACCAACTATCACCTAACAACTATCAACTAACGGCTAACAACTATCAACTAACAACTATCAACAACCAACTAACGACTACGAACGATCAACTACCAACTATCAACAACCAACTAACGACTTTCAACAATCAACTACCAACCATCAACTACCAACTATCAACTAACAACAACCAACTATTAAATAACTATCTACTACCAACTATCAACTAACAACAACCAACTATCAACAACTAGCAACCATCAACTACAAACTATCAACTACCGACCAACAACTATCCACTACCAACTATTAAGTAACAACTACCAACTATCAAGTAACAACTACCAACTATCCACTACCAACTATCAAGTAACAACTACCAAAAACCAACTATCAACTAACAACTATCAAGTAACAACTACCAACTACGATCTATACACTACCAACTATCAACTAACAACTACCAACTATCAACCAACAACTACCAACTACCAACCAACAACTACCAACTATCAACTAACAACTATCAACCATCAACTACCAACTAACAACAACCAACTATTAAATAACTATCAACTACCAACTATCAACTAACAACAACCAACTATCAACTAACAAGCAACCATCAACTATCAACTACCGACCAACAACTACCGACCAACAACTATCCACTACCAACTATCAAGTAACAACTACCGACTACCAACTATCAAGTAACAACTACCAACTACAAACTATCCACTACCAACTATCAAGTAACAACTACCAACTATCAAGTAACAACTACCAACTACAAACTATCCACTACCAACTATCAAGTAACAACTACCAACTATCCACTACCAACTATAAAGTAACAACTACCAAAAACCAACTATCAACCACCAACTATCAAGTAACAACTACCAACTACGATCTATACACTACCAACTATCAAGTAACAACTACCAACTATCCACTACCAACTATCAAATAACAACTACCAACTATCAAGTAACAACTACCAACTACCAACTATCCACTACCAACTATCAAGTAACAACTACCAACAATCAAGTAACAACTACCAACTATCAACAATCAAGTAACAACTACCAACTATCAACTACCAACTATTAAGTAACAACTACCAACTAGCAACAATCAAGTAACAACTACCAACTATCAACTACTAACTATCAAGTAACAACTACCAACTATCAACTACCAACTATCAAGTAACAACTACCAACTACCCACTACCAACTATCAAGTAACAACTACCAACAATCAAGTAACAACTACCAACTATCAACTACCAACTATTAAGTAACAACTACCAACTACCAACTACTAACTATCAAGTAACAACTACCAACTATCAACTACCAACTATTAAGTAACAACTACCAACTACTAACTATCAAGTAACAACTACCAACTATCAAGTAACAACTACCAACTACCCACTACCAACTATCAAGTAACAACTACCAACTACCAACAATCAAGTAACAACTACCAACTATCAACTACCAACTATTAAGTAACAACTACCAACTACCAACAATCAAGTAACAACTACCAACTATCAACTACTAACTATCAAGTAACAACTACCAACTATCAACTACCAACTATCAAGTAACAACTACCAACTATCCACTACCAACTATCAAGTAACAACAACCAACTACCAACTATCAACTACCATTTATCAACTATCAAGTAACAATTACCAACTACAAACTATCCACTACCAACTATTAAGTAACAACTACCAACTATCAACTACCAACTATCAAGTAGCAACTACCAACTACCAACTATCAAGTAACAACAACCAACTACCAACTATCCACTACCAACTATCAATTAACAACTACCAACTATCAACTACTAACTATCAAGTAACAACTACCAATTATCAAGTAACAACAACCAACTACCAACTATCAACTACCATTTATCAACTACCAACTATCAAGTAACAACTACCAACTATCAAGTAACAACTATCAACTACCAACTATCAACTACCAACTATCAAGTAACAACTATCAACTACCAACTATCAACTACCAACTATCAAGTAACAACTACCAACTATCCACTACCAACTATCAAATAACAACTACCAACTATCAAGTAACAACTACCAACTACCAACTATCCACTACCAACTATCAAGTAACAACTACCAACAATCAAGTAACAACTACCAACTATCAACAATCAAGTAACAACTACCAACTATCAACTACCAACTATTAAGTAACAACTACCAACTACCAACAATCAAGTAACAACTACCAACTATCAACTACTAACTATCAAGTAACAACTACCAACTATCAACTACCAACTATCAAGTAACAACTACCAACTACCCACTACCAACTATCAAGTAACAACTACCAACTACCAACAATCAAGTAACAACTACCAACTATCAACTACCAACTATTAAGTAACAACTACCAACTACTAACTATCAAGTAACAACTACCAACTATCAACTACCAACTATTAAGTAACAACTACCAACTACCAACTACTAACTATCAAGTAACAACTACCAACTATCAAGTAACAACTACCAACTACCCACTACCAACTATCAAGTAACAACTACCAACTACCAACAATCAAGTAACAACTACCAACTATCAACTACCAACTATTAAGTAACAACTACCAACTACCAACAATCAAGTAACAACTACCAACTATCAACTACTAACTATCAAGTAACAACTACCAACTATCAACTACCAACTATCAAGTAACAACTACCAACTACCCACTACCAACTATCAAGTAACAACTACCAACTACCAACTATCCACTACCAACTATCAAGTAACAACAACCAACTACCAACTATCAACTACCATTTATCAACTATCAAGTAACAATTACCAACTACAAACTATCCACTACCAACTATTAAGTAACAACTACCAACTACCAACTATCAACTACCAACTATCAACTACCAACTATCAAGTAGCAACTACCAACTACCAACTATCAACTACCAACTATCAAGTAACAACAACCAACTACCAACTATCCACTACCAACTATCAATTAACAACTACCAACTACCAACTATCAACTACCAACTATCCACTACCAACTATCAAGTAACAACAACCAACTACCAACTATCAACTACCATTTATCAACTACCAACTATCAAGTAACAACTACCAACTATCAACTACTAACTATCAAGTAACAACTACCAACTATCAAGTAACAACAACCAACTACCAACTATCAACTACCATTTATCAACTACCAACTATCAAGTAACAACTACCAACTATCAAGTAACAACTATCAACTACCAACTATCAACTACCAACTATCAAGTAACAACTATCAACTACCAACTATCCACTACCAACTATCAAGTAACAACAACCAACTACCAACTATCAACTACCATTTATCAACTACCAACTATCAAGTAACAACTACCAACTATCAACTACTAACTATCAAGTAACAACTACCAACTATCAAGTAACAACAACCAACTACCAACTATCAACTACCATTTATCAACTACCAACTATCAAGTAACAACTACCAACTATCAAGTAACAACTATAAACTACCAACTATCAAGTAACAACTATCAACTACCAACTATCAACTACCAACTATCAAGTAACAACTACCAACTATCAACTACCAACTATCAAGTAACAACTACCAACTATCAACTAACTCATTGGGAATCTCAAACGTCACAGTAAAAGTCTGTATTAGCATCAGATTCAGAGATGCTTTTGTGTCTTCTTTGGTTTCACTATGATCCGTCCTAAACCCGTCTCGGACCTAAACCCGTCTCGGACCTAAACCCGTCTCGGACCTAAACCCGTCTCGGTCCTAAACCCGTCTCGGACCTAAACCCGTCTCGGTCCTAAACCCGTCTCGGACCTAAACCCGTCTCGGTCCTAAACCCGTCTCGGACCTAAACCCGTCTCGGTCCTAAACCCGTCTCGGACCTAAACCCGTCTCGGACCTAAACCGTCTCGGTCCTAAACCCGTCTCGGACCTAAACCCGTCTCGGTCCTAAACCCGTCTCGGTCCTAAACCCGTCTCGGTCCTAAACCCGTCTCGGTCCTAAACCCGTCTCGGTCCTAAACCCGTCTCGGTCCTAAACCCGTCTCGGACCTAAACCGTCTCGGACCTAAACCCGTCTCGGACCTAAACCCGTCTCGGTCCTAAACCCGTCTCGGTCCTAACCCCGTCTCGGTCCTAAACCCGTCTCGGTCCTAAACCCGTCTCGGCCCTAAACCCGTCTCGGCCCTAAACCCGTCTCGGCCCTAAACCCGTCTCGGACCTAAACCCGTCTCGGTCCTAAACCGTCTCGGTCCTAAACCCGTCTCGGTCCTAAACCGTCTCGGTCCTAAACCCGTCTCGGCCCTAAACCGTCTCGGACCTAAACCCGTCTCGGTCCTAAACCCGTCTCGGTCCTAAACCGTCTCGGACCTAAACCCGTCTCGGCCCTAAACCCGTCTCGGTCCTAAACCCGTCTCGGTCCTAAACCCGTCTCGGTCCTAAACCCGTCTCGGACCTAAACCGTCTCGGACCTAAACCCGTCTCGGTCCTAAACCCGTCTCGGTCCTAAACCGTCTCGGACCTAAACCCGTCTCGGTCCTAAACCCGTCTCGGTCCTAAACCCGTCTCGGACCTAAACCGTCTCGGACCTAAACCCGTCTCGGTCCTAAACCCGTCTCGGTCCTAAACCGTCTCGGACCTAAACCCGTCTCGGCCCTAAACCCGTCTCGGTCCTAAACCCGTCTCGGTCCTAAACCCGTCTCGGTCCTAAACCCGTCTCGGTCCTAAACCGTCTCGGACCTAAACCCGTCTCGGTCCTAAACCCGTCTCGGTCCTAAACCGTCTCGGACCTAAACCCGTCTCGGACCTAAACCCGTCTCGGTCCTAAACCCGTCTCGGTCCTAAACCGTCTCGGACCTAAACCCGTCTCGGTCCTAAACCCGTCTCGGTCCTAAACCCGTCTCGGTCCTAAACCCGTCTCGGTCCTAAACCGTCTCGGACCTAAAACACGTCTCGGTCCTAAACCGTCTCGGACCTAAACCCGTCTCGGACCTAAACCCGTCTCGGTCCTAAACACGTCTCGGTCCTAAACCCGTCTCGGTCCTAAACCCGTCTCGGTCCTAAACACGTCTCGGTCCTAAACCCGTCTCGGTCCTAAACCCGTCTCGGTCCTAAACCCGTCTCGGTCCTAAACACGTCTCGGTCCTAAACCCGTCTCGGTCCTAAACCCGTCTCGGTCCTAAACCCGTCTCGGTCCTAAACCGTCTCGGACCTAAACACGTCTCGGTCCTAAACCGTCTCGGACCTAAACCCGTCTCGGACCTAAACCCGTCTCGGTCCTAAACACGTCTCGGTCCTAAACCCGTCTCGGTCCTAAACCCGTCTCGGTCCTAAACACGTCTCGGTCCTAAACCCGTCTCGGTCCTAAACCCGTCTCGGTCCTAAACCCGTCTCGGTCCTAAACACGTCTCGGTCCTAAACCCGTCTCGGTCCTAAACCCGTCTCGGACCTAAACCGTCTCGGACCTAAACCCGTCTCGGTCCTAAACCCGTCTCGGTCCTAAACCGTCTCGGACCTAAACCCGTCTCGGTCCTAAACCCGTCTCGGTCCTAAACCCGTCTCGGTCCTAAACCGTCTCGGACCTAAACACGTCTCGGTCCTAAACCGTCTCGGACCTAAACCGTCTCGGACCTAAACCCGTCTCGGACCTAAACCCGTCTCGGTCCTAAACCGTCTTGGACCTAAACGCTGTGTTTCTTAACCTCCCCAAAGTCGTCTCTCTCCTCGCGGTGCAGAAGAAGACCACAGTTGCTATGACAACCATATCTCTGGTCACTCTGTGCTATTCTTAGAGCTGCTGCTGCTGTAGAGAAACTATAGAGTTCAGAAAGTTTCAATGCGTCTAAAATCCACCGACAACAATGAGACGGAGCCGATGGGTTTCCACCTGAATATGGGAATAATTGTTTTTGCTCGAGAGATGTCAAATTCTGCACTTTGAGCCTTAATTTCACCCCCTGAACATGCATGAAAAGTTGTAAAATTTTGCCCAAACATCAGACCTGGTGAAAAATTTGATATTTTGGTGTTTATTTTTATGGGACTAAAAAAATGCCAGAACAGCGCCACCTACAACAGCCAATGGGAGTTGCAGAGGTCAAGTTGGTCGTAGAGCCATGAAATTCGGTACACATGTTCCGATTCAGATTCAGTTTATTTGCCATTTGCAGTAAAACCACATTGGAATACATTAGCAAAAGTCTCCAGTGTGCACAGACAAATACAGACATGAAACAACATTAAAAGACAGAAATAAAACAAATAAAACAGTAAACAAATGTCACTGTGAAATGGATCGACTAAAACAGTATCAAAACAAGTGCAAATCATTAAAGTGCTCTGTTCACACTGATAACAGCCTGTGGATAAAAACTGTTAGCGTAACGAGATGTCCTGCATCTCAGAGAGCGATATCTTCTGCCAGAGGGAAGAAGCTGGAACATGGCTTTCCCAGGGTGGCCAGAAGAGTCATTAACAATCCTAAGAGCTTTGTTTAAAAGTGTGGATTTATAAAGAACCTCCAGAACAGGAAGCTCACAGCCCACGGTCCTCTTTGCAGAGCGGAGCACCTTGTTTAAAGCTCTTTTCTTTATCTGTGATGTTTCCAAACCACACAGACACAGAACCAACAAGTAAACTCTCAATGGTGCAGCGATAAAAGTTAAGCACAATCTTAGAGTTAGTGGTAAATTCTCTAAGTTTCCGCAGGAAGTAGAGACGCTGACGAGCTTTCTTAACGACTCGGTCAGTGTTTTTAACCCATTTCAGGTTAGACAGAGTTAAACCCAGAAACTTGCTCCTCTACGATCTGCACCTGGGAGTTGTCGATTACGACAGGCAAATGAGAACTATTGCGACTGAAGTCGTGACCAGTTCACATGTTTTGGATGCGTTCAACTGGAGGTTGTTAGTTTGACTCCACTGAACCACATTTTGTATATCTGCTCTATAAGAGGATTCATCAGTGTCACTGATGAGACCGATGATGGTGGTGTCATCAGCATATTTGATGATCAAGTTTGAGTCAGAGGAGGACACACAATCGTGAGTGTACAAAGTAAAAAGCAAAGGACTCAAAATACATCCCTGAGGAGAACCAGTGCTCACAGAAACAACATCAGAAAAACACTCTCTGAGATCTGTCAGTTAAAAAGCTATAGATCCATTTACACATGGCAACACTTAAACCCAGAGACATGAGCTTTTCAATCAGTTTACCTGGGACAAGGCAGTTAAAAGCAGAGCTATAATCGATGAAAAGCATTCTCGTGACCTCAAGTCAAGATACGACCAAAATGTTATCATGGCTCCGCCCCCTGACAAACAGGAAGTCCATAAATTTCTGCAAAATGGAAAAATGATCCGCAATCATTTTCATACATGTCGGTTGGAAAGCGACTCCTCCTCGGCCGTTTCACTGATTTGCCTCAAAATTGCTCCACATCCTCTCAACACATGTACCTTCAAAATGACCTCAGGGATTTTTGATCAGTGAAACGTTGTTTGAGCAGCGGAGCGGCAAAAAGTGAGTTTTTATTGGCCGTTTTTGACAACATTCTATTTGCTCCCGTTTGCACAAACAAAGTCTGATTTGCACAAAACTTGAATCCATGGTTCAACTCTAGGGTCTAGGTCATTTGAAAGTGAAATAATTGAACTTGGCTCATTAACGCCCCCTACAGACTAGGGGGTCTACCCAGCCTCAGTCCTGGGTCTACAGTCTCAGTCCTGGGTCTACAGCCTGACTCCTGGGTCTACAGCCTCAGTCCTGGGTCTACAGCCTCAGTCCTGGGTCTACAGCCTCAGTCCTGGGTCTACAGTCTCAGTCCTGGGTCTACAGTCTCAGTCCTGGGTCTACAGTCTCAGTCCTGGGTCTACAGTCTCAGTCCTGGGTCTACAGTCTCAGTCCTGGGTCTACAGTCTCAGTCCTGGGTCTACCTGGATCTACATAACCTGGCAAGAGCCAGATTGATGATTGTGTAGAACTCTAATGCGTTCTCCACAATATCAATCTGGGACTTCTGCAGGAGAATCCTTTCAGGGAAAGGAGGGATAAGCAGCAGAATACTTCAAGATGATTGGGCGACAAGATGTATTCTCGAGTGTTTGTGAACTCACAAATACCGCGAGGATTCAGCTTGCAGGCTAGGTTAGGATTTACAGCCTCAGTCCTGGGTCCACAGCCTCAGTCCTGGGTCTACAGCCTCAGTCCTGGGTCTACAGCCTCAGTCCTGGGTCTACAGCCTCAGTCCTGGGTCTACAGCCTCAGTCCTGGGTCTACAGACTCAGTCCTGGGTCTACAGCCTCAGTCCTGGGTCTACAGCCTCAGTCCTGGGTCTACAGCCTCAGTCCTGGGTCTACAGCCTCAGTCCTGGGTCTACAGCCTCAGTCCTGGGTCTACAGCCTCAGTCCTGGGTCTACAGTCTCAGTCCTGGGTCTACAGCCTCAGTCCTGGGTCTACAGTCTCAGTCCTGGGTCCACAGCCTCAGTCCTGGGTCTACAGCCTCAGTCCTGGGCCCACAGCCTCAGTCCTGGGTCCACAGCCTCAGTCCTGGGTCCACAGCCTCAGTCCTGGGTCTACAGCCTCAGTCCTGGGTCTTGAATTTAATTTTTATAAGTTTCAGCTGGGGGGGTGCCTTGGTTCAAAAAGGTTGGGGAACACTGCCTTAAGTTACAGACCCCATCTGTGGAGCAGAGAGTCCAGAGAAAGAAATTTGAGACAAGAATAATCTGTAATTCAGTAAAGTTAACATAATACATACATTCCAAATAAATACCATCCCCATGGCAACCACACCCATCCTGATCCCAGCCATCCTCATTGGTCTTGTACATATATATACTTATATATTAATGTGCACGTTTTCTGAATCAAACTGTATTATGTGTTGCGTGTCACAGAAAGGGGCTGAACATCCTCCGCTCCCACGTCACCAGCGGCAGCTCCAAGCCGAGGCTGGACACTTGTTTTGGGGAGAAGAAAAGCGCTGATCCGCGGTGGTGGAGGCGGACAGGCGACCGGGAAGAACAGCCCGAAAACAACCGCTTTGTGGAGGCTTCACCGCGACACAGCACCGTTTAGTCTCTTCTAATACACTTTAAACCATGTCGACCCCGGCCAGGAGACGACTCATGCGGGACTTCAAACGGTACGTGATGTGTTTGTGTTCCTTAGCATCCTTAGCATCGTTAGCATCGTTAGCATCCTTAGCATCGTTAGCATCGTTAGCATCGTTAGCATCGTTAGCATCGGTAGCATCGTTAGCATCGGTAGCATCGTTAGCATCGTTAGCATCGTTAGCATCGTTAGCATCGAGCTAGCTTAGCCGCGGTACCCTAAACGCCTCAAATCCACATCTAAACCTGTAGCAATCGTGGAATAACGGGTCCGTAGCAGGTGCCCAGCCCGTGGAGACCCCCTCAGCCCGGATGCCACAGGGAGCAGTGCCCGTGGAGACCCCCACAGGGAGCAGTGCCCGTGGAGACCCCCACAGGGAGCAGTGCCCGTGGAGACCCCCACAGGGAGCAGTGCCCGTGGAGACCCCCACAGGGAGCAGTGCCCGTGGAGACCCCCACAGGGAGTGAAGAAGATGACAAAGTCTGGGATCGTGTCTTAAATTCAGACAGAAGACATGTTTTATTGTCAATGGTAGAGACAGCACGAACAACAGAATGCAAGTGTATTATACAGAGCGTTGGCATGGAGACCTCCAATCAGCAGCTGCCACGGTGCCATGTAGCTTGGCCTTCAGATAGACACAACAAGGGAAAAGTACTGGCTTCTGCACATTGATAGAATGATGAGTTTAACTTTAACAAAAGTTGCTTCAAAGTGTTATGAAATCTCACATTCCCCCCTCTGGTCATACATTCACGTGTGACCATCAGGATCGATAAACAGCAACATAACATCATAACTCAATACTTCAAAAACTCATAAACTCGGTACTTCACTCGGTACTTCAAAAAACTCAGAACTCGGAATACTTCAAAAACTCATAAACTCGGTACTTCAAAAAACTCAGAACTCGGAATACTTCAAAAACTCAGAAAACTCATAAAACATGTTCAGATCTTTCATAAAACTTGTCAACAATCTTCAGTAAAATACCAAACTTCATCAGTCGATGGTGGATCCAGATATTGCTTTGAAAACAGTCTCTCCCACTTCTCTGTGTTGATTTCTTCAGGCTGCATTTGTGTCGAGCCATGAATTCTTCTGTGACGTGTCTTTCAAATCACACGTTTCAGCTTTAGTGTCCAGATTCAGCAATTCAATTCAGTCCAAATTTTGTCCAAATTGTGTAATCCAATTTTTCCAAATGATGTCCATGCAAAAGAGGACGCTGGTATTGTCCATGTCTCAGCAGCTCACAGCCTGACTGGAATCAGGGGCTGTGCAGATTGTCCATGTGCTGATCCAGATGCATGGTTTCTCTTGAGGTTTTTCAGTTTTGGCTTAAAAAAAAAAACACTTTTTGTGTAAAAAAAAAGTCTTCTGTTCTCTAGATGTTACAGACAAGGCCCGCATCCTTCCACCACCTGAAGAAGATGACAAAGTCTGGGATCGTGTCTTTCATTCAGACAGAAGACATGTTTTATTGTCGATGGTAGAGACAGCACGATCACGATCACAGATACAATAGAATGCAAGTGTATTATACAGAGCGGAGGCATGGAGACCTCCAATCAGCAGCTTCCACGGTGTGCTTGTAGCTTGGCCTTCAGATAGACACAACAAGGGAAAAGTACTGGCTTCTGCACATTGATAGAATGATGAGTTTAACTTTAACAAAAGTTGCTTCAAAGTGTTATGAAATCTCATAGGAGCAGTGCCCGTGGAGACCCCCACAGGGAGCAGTGCCCGTGGAGACCCCCACAGGGAGCAGTGCCCGTGGAGACCCCCACAGGGAGCAGTGCCCGTGGAGACCCCCACAGGGAGCAGTGCCCGTGGAGACCCCCACAGGGAGCAGTGCCCGTGGAGACCCCCACAGGGAGCAGTGCCCGTGGAGACCCCCACAGGGAGCAGTGCCCGTGGAGACCCCCACAGGGAGCAGTGCCCGTGGAGACTCTGGGGGTCTGGGTTCGTGACAAAGGCTGTGCACAGTGTTTATGTGCATCAGCTGGAGACACGTACAGGTGGAAACATCTTTATTGTTAGGTCTATAAATGTATCAGTTGTAATCAGTATTGGATACAGGTTATATAGGTTATACTGTGTATACAGGGTATACGGGTTATACGGGTTATACGGGTTATACGGGTTATACAGGTTATACAGGGTATACGGTTTATACAGGTTATACAGTTTATACAGGTTATACGGGTTATACAGGTTATACAGGTTATACAGTTTATACAGGTTATACAGTTTATACAGGTTATACAGTTTATACAGGTTATACAGTTTATACAGGTTATACGGGTTATACAGGGTATACGGGTTATACAGGGTATACGGGTTATACAGGGTATACGGGTTATACAGGGTATACAAGGTATACAGGGTATACAGGTTATACGGGTTATACAGGTTATACTGGGTATACAGGGTATACAGGTTATACAGGTTATGTATGTTATACAGGTTATACGGGGTATGCAAGTTATGCAAGTTTATACAGGTGTAAACAGGGGTTATACAGGTTATGCAGGTGTATACAGGGTATTACATGGGTATACAGGTTTATACAGGTTATGCAATGTTTATACAGGTTATACGGGGTATGCAAGTTATGCGCGTTAGTTATACAGGGTTATACAGGTTATACGGGTGATACGGGTTATACCGGTTATATGGGTTATATGGGTTATACGGTTAATATGGGTTGCGTACGGTGGTATTACAGGTTATCACAGGTATATACTAGGTTATGGCCGGTTATACCGGAGTCTATACGGGGTTTTTATACGGGTTATATCGGGTTATATGAGGTTGGTACCGAGGGATACTACAGGTGTATACAGGATATATCAGGGTTATTGCAGGTTATACAGGTTATACAGGGGTATATACAGGTTATGACATTGTTATACAGGTTATACGGTGGTATGCAAGTTATGCAATGTTAAGAGGCAAGTTATACAGGGTATACAGGTTATACATACAGGTTATGCATGTTATACAGGTTATTATACGGTATGCAAGTTATGCAAGTTATACAGGTATGCATGTTATAAGTTATGCAAGTTATACAGGTTATACAGGTTATACGGGTTATATGGGTTGTACGGGGTATACAGGTTATACATACAGGTTATACAGGTTATACAGGGTATACAGGTTATACAGGTTATGCATGTTATACAGGTTATGCATGTTATACAGGTTATACGGGGTATGCAAGTTATGCAAGTTATGCAAGTTATACAGGTTATGCATGTTATACAGGTTATACGGGGTATGCAAGTTATGCAAGTTATACAGGTTATGCAGGTTATACAGGGTATACAGATTATACGGGTTATACAGGTTATAGCTACAGGACTGTATCTGCAGGATCTGTGAAGTGTGATTTATTGAAAGATATCTAAAATCATGTCTTGTGAATAATTAGCGTAGCGTAGCGTTCCAATATTTAGCCTATGGTTCTATATCACTGTGATGTCACTGTGATGTCACTGTGATGTCACTGTGATGTCACTGTGATGTCACAACACGAGCTGGAGGCAAACAGATAAGAGCCCAGTGTATTTATTTATTTATGTAGTAAAAAATAAATGTCACAGTTGGAGCACACATTACAGACAGTAGGAATGGAGGAGCACTCAAATCAAGATGAAGAATTATGACAAGCCAAACAAATGTGAATAATAGTGACTGTGGAGTAAAATATATAGCCCTGTTTCCACCACACCTGATTGGCCTACTGTACTGTACTGTACTGTACTGAACCCTACCCTTCCTGGTCCTGGTTCTATCCAGGCCGAGCTGGTACCAAAGCGTTCTAACTGACAGTGATTGGGCAGAGGGCTGGACTTTCCTGGATACTGGTTTGTTGTGGGCAGGTTGCTAGGATACAGAACCAGATGTAGATTAAGCATTGAGTCAGATCTGAGGTTCTTTGTCCTAGTCTAGTTTGTTTTTTCCAGATCAAGAATGACCTTTAATTCTATTGTTATTTCAAAGTTAATGATCAGTTCAATCTTAGCCTCACTGAATATGACCTCTTGATTCTCCTTTTATGATCTAATAATAAGCCTCATCTGTGATTTTGAGCTATTGAATCCTGTACGTTATTATTTAATAAACAGTCGTCTCGTCTCATTGTAGACAGTTATATTTAGATTTGGATTTAAAATGGAAAAGGGAGCATTTGTAGAGAAGGGCAGGGGTGATGTTTGTGTTCCAATACGTTCTGACATTAGTGTGACCCTGAACACCACCAAAGGTTCTGTTACATAAGGAACGTTTGCATTCAACTGTAGTCCAGGGGTGTCGCCCAAAATCACAGCAGTCGTCTCAGAAAACAACAGATCAGAGAATCAGACTGATGGCAGGGCTGAAGTTGACTGCATGACCACAGGGGCCCAACGGGAGTGCTCTCTGCTGTTTATCTGTGATCTTTGTGAATGCAGATACAGTGGGGCAAAAAAGTATTTAGTCAGCCACCGATTGTGCAAGTTCTCCCACTTAAAATAAAGACAGAGGTCTGTAATGTTCATCATAGGTACACTTCAACTGTAAGACACAGAATGTGAAAAAAAAATCCAGGAATTCACATTGTAGGATTTTTAAAGAATCTATTTGTAAATTATGGTGGAAAAAAGTATTTGGTCAATAACACAAATTCAAGTCAATGGAAGAAGGTTTTGGCTCAAAATCTCACGATACATGGCCCCATTCATTCTTTCCTTAACACGGATCAGTCGTCCTGTCCCCTTAGCAGAAAAACAGCCCCAAAGCATGACGTTTCCACCCCCATGCTTCACAGTAGGTATGGTGTACGAGTTGAGTTTATACCAAACAGTTGTACTTTGGTTTCATCTGACCACATGACATTCTCCCAATCCTCTGCTGTATCATCCATGTGCTCTCTGGCAAACTTCAGACGGGCCTGGATCATCCATGTGCTCTCTGGCAAACTTCAGACGGGCCTGGATCATCCATGTGCTCTCTGGCAAACTTCAGACGGGCCTGGACATGCACTGGCTTCAGCAGGGGGACACGTCTGGCACTGCAGGATTTGATTCCCTGTCGTCGTAGTGTGTTACTGATGGTAACCTTTGTTACTTTGGTCCCAGTTCTCTGCAGGTCCTTCACCAGGTCGCCCCGTGTGGTTCTGGGATCTTTGATCACCGTTCTCATGATCATTTTGACCCCACGGGATGAGATCTTGCGTGGAGCCCCAGATCGAGGGAGATTATCAGTGGTTGAAATATTGTTGTGGGTTACATTTGGGCTTTTATACAGATTAGTTCAAACAGGTGCCATTAATACAGGTAACGAGTGGAGGACAGAAGAGCTTCTTAAAGAAGAAGTTACAGGTCTGTGAGAGCCAGAGAAGTGACCAAATACTTATTTTCCACCATCATTTACAAATAAATTCTTTAAAAATCCTACAATGTGAATTCCTGGATATTTTTTTTCACATTCTGTCTCTCACAGTTGAAGTGAACCTATGATGAACATTACAGACCTCTGTCATTATTTTAAGTGGGAGAACTTTCACAATCAGTGGCTGACTAAATACTTTTTTGCCCTACTGTATGACCATATAAGGACTGACCAATCAGAGAGACTGATATATACTTTATTGATCCTCGGAGCAGGACATCAGGTGTCCTGTAGCAGCAGAACATCAGGTGTCCTGTAGCAGTAGAACATCAGGTGTCCTGTAGCAGTAGAACATCAGGTGTCCTGTAGCAGCAGAACATCAGGTGTCCTGTAGCAGCAGAACATCAGGTGTCCTGTAGTAGAACATCAGGTGTCCTGTAGCAGCAGAACATCAGGTGTCCTGTAGCAGCAGAATCAGGTGTCCTGTAGTAGAAACATCAGGTGTCCTGTAGCAGTAGAACATCAGGTGTCTGTAGCAGCAGAACATCAGGTGTCCTGTAGCAGCAGAACATCAGGTGTCCTGTAGCAGCAGAACATCAGGTGTCCTGTAGCAGCAGAACATCAGGTGTCCTGTAGCAGCAGAACATCAGGTGTCCTGTAGCAGCAGAACATCAGGTGTCCTGTAGCCTGAACATCAGGTGTCCTGTAGCAGCAGAACATCAGGTGTCCTGTAGCAGCAGAACATCAGGTGTCCTGTAGCAGCAGAACATCAGGTGTCCTGTAGCAGCAGAACATCAGGTGTCCTGTAGCAGCAGAACATCAGGTGTCCTGTAGCAGCAGAACATCAGGTGTCCTGTAGCAGCAGAACATCAGGTGTCCTGTAGCAGCAGAACATCAGGTGTCCTGTAGCAGCAGAACATCAGGTGTCCTGTAGCAGTAGAACATCAGGTGTCCTGTAGCAGTAGAACATCAGGTGTCCTGTAGCAGAACATCAGGTGTCCTGTAGCAGTAGAACATCAGGTGTCCTGTAGCAGCAAAACATCAGGTGTCCTGTAGCAGCAGAACATCAGGTGTCCTGTAGCAGAACATCAGGTGTCCTGTAGCAGCAGAACATCAGGTGTCCTGTAGCAGCAGAACATCAGGTGTCCTGTAGCAGCAGAACATCAGGTGTCCTGTAGCAGCAGAACATCAGGTGTCCTGTAGCAGCAGAACATCAGGTGTCCTGTAGCAGCAGAACATCAGGTGTCCTGTAGCAGCAGAACATCAGGTGTCCTGTAGCAGCAGAACATCAGGTGTCCTGTAGCAGCAGAACATCAGGTGTCCTGTAGCAGCAGAACATCAGGTGTCCTGTAGCAGCAGAACATCAGGTGTCCTGTAGCAGTAGAACATCAGGTGTCCTGTAGCAGTAGAACATCAGGTGTCCTGTAGCAGTAGAACATCAGGTGTCCTGTAGCAGAACATCAGGTGTCCTGTAGCAGTAGAACATCAGGTGTCCTGTAGCAGAAACATCAGGTGTCCTGTAGCAGTAGAACATCAGGTGTCCTGTAGCAGCAAAACATCAGGTGTCCTGTAGCAGTAGAACATCAGGTGTCCTGTAGCAGTAGAACATCAGGTGTCCTCTAGCAGTAGAACATCAGGTGTCCTGTAGCAGTAGAACATCAGGTGTCCTGTAGCAGCAGAACATCAGGTGTCCTGTAGCAGCAGAACATCAGGTGTCCTGTAGCAGCAGAACATCAGGTGTCCTGTAGCAGCAGAACATCAGGTGTCCTGTAGCAGCAGAACATCAGGTGTCCTGTAGCAGAACATCAGGTGATGTCACATGGTGATGTCACAGTCACATGGTGGTGTCACATGGTGGTGTCACATGGTGGTGTCACATGGTGATGTCACAGTCACATACACTGTGATCTTTATCTGCATTTGAAACAGTTAAAGATCTTAGAGGGTTACATCATGATATTGTGTTGTTATACCACATGTGATCTACGCCTCTCTCTTCCACATGTGATCTACGCCTCTCTCTTCCACATGTGATCTACGCCTCTCTCTCTTCCACATGTGATCTACGCCTCTCTCTTCCACATGTGATCTACGACTCTCTCTCTTCCACATGTGATCTACGCTTCTCTCTCTCCACATGTGATCTACGCCCTCTCTCTTCCACATGTGATCTACGCCTCTCTCTTCCACATGTGATCTACGCCCTCTCATGTGATCTACGCCTCTCTCTCTTCCACATGTGATCTACGCCTCTCTCTTCCACATGTGATCTACGCCTCTCTCTCTTCCACATGTGATCTACGCCTCTCTCTTCCACATGTGATCTACGCCTCTCTCTCTTCCACACGTGATCTACGACTCTCTCTCTTCCACATGTGATCTACGCCTCTCTCTCTTCCACATGTGATCTACGCCTCTCTCTTCCACATGTGATCTACGACTCTCTCTCTTCCACATGTGATCTACGCCTCTCTCTCTTCCACATGTGATCTACGCCTCTCTCTCTTCCACACGTGATCTACGACTCTCTCTCTTCCACATGTGATCTACGCCTCTCTCTCTTCCACATGTGATCTACACCTCTCTCTTCCACATGTGATCTACGCTTCTCTCTCTTCCACATGTGAATCTACGCCTCTCTCTCTTCCACACGTGATCTACGACTCTCTCTCTTCCACATGTGATCTACGCCTCTCTCTCTTCCACATGTGATCTACACCTCTCTCTTCCACATGTGATCTACACCTCTCTCTTCCACATGTGATCTACGCTTCTCTCTCTTCCACATGTGATCTACGCTTCTCTCTCTTCCACATGTGATCTACGCCTCTCTCTTCCACATGTGATCTACGCCTCTCTCTCTTCCACATGTGATCTACGCTTCTCTCTCTTCCACATGTGATCTACGCCTCTCTCTCTTCCACATGTAATCTACACCTCTCTCTTCCACATGTGATCTACGCCTCTCTCTCTTCCACATGTGATCTACGCCTCTCTCTTCCACATGTGATCTACGCCTCTCTTTCACATGCGTATTGAGTGGTTCTACGTCTGCACTGACATAGACCCTTTTAAAGCAGCAGTGAGTAAACATGTGGTCAAAAGTGGTACTGCAGCCTCTCCCACTCTCCCTGACTCAGGTTGCCAGATATGCAGACGAATCCAGCTGGGACCATAACAGCTGAATAGACAAGAGTTTTGTCAACAACAAATCTATAACCAACACCTTTTTCACAAAGATAGAAATCCTGGTTGTATTCTTGTTTTGTCGTTAATGATTGGACCTTTTTTAGTTCTAACTAACTCTAACCCTAACCCGATAATCATCATTTTTCACTCTTCTGCCCTAAAATGAGCTGCAGTATATAAGGCAAGGCAAGTTTATTTGTATAGCACAATTCATACACAAGGCAATTCAAAGTGCTGGATACAGAACAAGAACAGGCATTATAATCCATGAATGAATCACAGGACATTAAAATAAAATAGATAAATAATATTAAATCCCTCAGGTGTAGCTACAGCATAACAAGCACCGTTTTTAACTTGGTTTTAATCCATTGGTCAGAGAGGAGGCCTGTGTCGCACCTCTTCAGGAAGATCTGTCTCCAGATTTAGCAGCATTGAAGCTGAACAGACAAGCAGCACTCCCCATGGTTAGTTTCCGAGTCCTCTGGGGCTGACGAACAGGGAGTGCCAGGTCCCTGCTGCACGCTCAGTAGCCAGCAGGAGTCCAGTCCCTGTGCTCCTCAAGAGTCCCAGCAGGAGGCCAGTCCCGTGGGTGCCTCCTCAGAGTCTCCAGCAGGAGTCCTAGTCGCCTTTGCTAGCCCGAGTCCCAGCAGGTAGGTCCAGTCCCCTGTGCTCCCTCTAGAGTTCCCAGCAGGAGTCCAAGTCCTTCTCCTCAAGTCCCACCAAGTCCAGTCCCTGGGCTCCGCGCGAGAGTCCCACAACCAGTCCGGTGCTCCCTCAAGCCCTGCAAGTCCCAATCCCTGTCGCCGCTAGTCCCAGCAAGTCCTGTCCCTGACTACCTCAGAGTCCCACAAGTCCAGTCCCTGTGCTACTCAGATCCAGTCCCTCTCCTCAATCGCAAGTCCCTGGAGCTCCTCAATCCATCCGGGCTCCTCAAGTCAATCCCAGGGGCGCCTCAAGTCCAGTCCCTTCTCCTTCAGATCCTTCCCTGTGGCTCCTCAAGGCCAGGCCCTGTGCGCTCAGTGCCGGGCGGTGCATATGACTACATGTCTCTATTATATTGTGTGCTGGCACCATGGGGAAGACTTTATCAACCAATCGGGTGTTATATCGAGTCTCTGACCACAAGGAAGCCACTTCATGGTTCTAGTAAGGACTGATCTAAGGTCGCTAATTCCTGGGTCTAGTATGTGGTCGGACTTCCTGGTTCTAGTCAGGACTATTGTGGTCGTACTTCCTGGTTCTTTGTAGACTCAGGTACTTCCTGGTTCTTAAGGACTAATGTGGTCGTACTTCCTGGTTCTAGTCAGGACTAATATGGTCGTATGCCTGTTTAGCTGCTCGAGCTGCTGCATTTTGAATGTACTGCAGCTGTTTTACAGCCTGTTTGGACAGACCTGTGAGCAGGGCCATTGCAGTAGTCTAACCTACTGGAGACAAATGCATGGATAAGAATCTCCAAGTCTGCTTTAGACACTATGTTTTTTGATCCTGGCAATGTTTTTTTAGATGGTAAAAAGCTGCTGATGTTACTGATTTGATGTGGCTATTAAAATTTAAGTCTGAGTCCAGTATTACCCTAGATTTCTGACCTTGTTTGAAGGTTTTAGGGAGAGAGACTGTAGGTGACAGATGACGCTCTCTCTTTGTTTCTGGGGACCAAAGACAATCATTTCAGTTTTGTCTGCGTTTAGCTGAAGGAAGTTGTTTTGCATCCACTCACTGATCTGTTGGATACAGTGAAGGAGTGAGTCCACTGGTCCATGTTCTCCTGCAGTCAGTGAGACATAGATCTGAGTGTCGTCTGCATAGTTATGATAGGAAACTTTGTTTCTGCGTATTAACTGACCTAACGGCAACATGTAGAGATTGAACAGAAGAGGTCCCAGGATCGACCCCTGTGGGACTCCACAGGTCAGGGCCATATGATCTGAGACACAGTTTCCAATCTCCACAAAGTACTTCCTGTCTTCAAGGTAAGACCTAAACCAACTTAGGGCGGTGCCAGTGACGCCAACCCAGTCCTCTAGTCTCTGTAAGAGGATCTCATGGTCGACAGTGTCAAAGGCAGCACTTAGATCTAACAAGATTAGGATTGAGACTTTACCTGCGTCAGTGTTCAGCCGGATATCGTTTGTAACCTTGACGAGAGCAGTCTCAGTGCTGTGGTGGGGTCTAAAGCCGGACTGAAACATATCAAATGAGTTGTTGATTATAAGAAATCTAGTAAGCTGTAGGTGGACAACTTTTTCAAGGACTTTCCCCATAAATGGCAGATTTGAGATGGGACGATAGTTGTTAAGTACCGTAGCATCCAGACTGCTCTTTTTTAGCAGGGGCCTGATGACTGCAGTTTTTCAGGGCCTTTGGGAACTATTCCAGAATGAAGGGACATGTTTACTATCTGTGTGAGTGAAGGTAACAGACTGCTCAGAACAGACTTCAGAAATCTAGTGGGTAGTACATCCAGGCTGCATGTAGAGGAGCTCAAACTGGAGATTATCTCTTGGACAGTTTTATCATTTACAGGTGCAAAGTGAGTTAGCTCAGAGAGCCTTTCTGGCTGTTGGATTGTTATCTGTGGATTGGAGACAATGGCGTTTTTGATGCCTTGAACCTTGTCATTGAAAAAATTAGCAAACTCATTACATTTACGTTTGGAAGTAAGCTCTAATGGCATCTGAACAGGGGGGTTTGTTAATCTATTAACTGTTGAAAACAGAACACGCAGATTGTTGCTGCAGCCTTCAATCATTTCAGAAAAATACCTTTCTCTCGTACTACGTAGCACCCGGTTAAACTCGCACAACTTATCTTTGAAGATCTCGTAATCTACCTGGAGGTTGGACTTGCGCCATTAACATGTTACATTAGTCCCTCATCGGCTGCATCCCATTCATAAAACACCTTTGCTTCCTTCTACCTTTCTCTGACAGATCTGAACACAGTGGCAACAAATATTATTATAAATATTGCTTCCTCCTCTCTCTCTCCCCTCCTCCCCCCTCCTCACCTGTGTCTCCCCCTCTCCTCCCCTCCCCTCTCCTCTCCCCTCTCCTCCCCGCTCCTCACCTGTCTCCCCTCCATCTCCTCCTCTCTCCTCCCGCTCCTAACCTGTCTCCCTCTCCCTCTCCCCCCTCTCACCCTCCCCTCCCCCTCTCTCCCTCTCTCCCCTCCTCACCTCCCCCTTCTCCTCTCCTCCTCGCCCCTCCCGTCTCCCTCCCCCCTCACCTGTGTCTCCCCTCTCCTCTCTCCCGCTCCCTCCCCCTCACCTTTCTCCCCCTCCTCACCAGTGTCTCCCCTCTCCTCCCTCCCCTCCCTCCCTTCTCCCTCCCCCTCCTCACTGTGTCTCCCCCTCCCATCTCCTCCTCTCCCTCCCCCTCCTCACCTGTGTCTGGGCTCCCTCTCCTCTCCCCTTCTCCCTCCCCCCTCCTCACCTGTCTCCCCCTCACCTGTCCCCGTCTCCCCCCTCCTCACCTGTGTCTCCCCCTCTCCTTCCTCCCCGTCCCTCCCCTCCTCCTGTGTCTCCCCCCTCTCCTTCCCCGCTCTCTCACCCCTCACCTGTGTCTCCCCTCCTCCGCTCCTGTCCCCCTCTCACCGTGTGTCTCCCCCTCCTCCCTCCCCTCTTCCCTCCCTCCCCCCTCCTCACCTGTCTCCCTCCTCTCCCTCCCAGCCTGCCCGTTTACCTCCCTCCTCACCTCTCCTCTCCCCGCTCTCTCCCCCTCCTCACCTGTGTCTCCCCTCTCCTCCCCCCCCCCTCTCCTCCCTGCTCCTCCAACCGCTCCTCACCCTCCCTCTCCTCCCCCCTCCTCACCTGTGTCTCCCCTCTCCTCCCCCCTCCTCACCTGTGTCTCCCCCAGGCTTCAGGAGGACCCTCCCACAGGAGTGAGTGGCGCTCCGTCTGAGAACAACATCATGCTGTGGAACGCTGTGATCTTTGGGTGAGCACAGCTCTAATGTAGAGATCTAAGTTAAAGCTACATTTATGTTTAATATGAACCTTCAGCTGTTGCTCAGTAACTGTCACTCTGTCTTCGTTGTACAGTCTGAGTCCTGGGTCCATGGCCTCCCTTTATCCCACTGTTAGAATGTATGAAAGCATGTTTTATTATTATTATTATTGTTATTATGACCGTGGACAGAGGTCGTCCCTATGGACCAATGAGACGACTGTGCTGAGACGTCTCTGTTGTGCAGTCCGGGCGCCTCAGTCTGTGCGCCTCAGTCCGGGCGCCTCAGTCCGGGCGCCTCAGTCTGTGCGCCTCAGTCCGGGCGCCTCAGTCTGTGCGCCTCAGTCCGGGCGCCTCAGTCCGGGCGCCTCAGTCCGGGCGCCTCAGTCCGGGCGCCTCAGTCCGGGCGCCTCAGTCCGGGCGCCTCAGTCCGTGCGCCTCAGTCCGGGCGCCTCAGTCTGTGCGCCTCAGTCCGGGCGCCTCAGTCCGGGCGCCTCAGTCCGGGCGCCTCAGTCCGGGCGCCTCAGTCCGGGCGCCTCAGTCCGGGCGCCTCAGTCCGTGCGCCTCAGTCCGGGCGCCTCAGTCCTGTGCGCCTCAGTCCGGGCGCCTCAGTCCGGGCGCCTCAGTCCGGGCGCCTCAGTCCGGGCGCCTCAGTCGTCGGCCGCCTCAGTCCCGGGCGTCTCTGCCCGTGCCTCAGTCCGGGCGCCTCAGTTCGGGCGTCTCTGTCGTGCCTCAGTCCGGGCGCCTCAGTCCGTGCGCCTCAGTCCGGGCGCCTCAGTCGTGCCTCAGTCCGGGCGCCTCAGTCCGGGCGCCTCAGTCCGGGCGCCTCAGTCCGGGCGCCTCAGTCCGGCGCCTCAGTCCGGGCGCTGCTGCAGTCCGGGCGCCTCAGTCCGGGCGCCTCAGTCCGTGCGCCTCAGTCCGGGCGCCTCAGTCCGGGCGCTCAGTCCGGGCGTCTCTGTCCGTGCGCCTCAGTCCGGGCGCCTCAGTCCGGGCGTTCGTCAGTCCGTGCGCCTCAGTCCGGGCGTCTCTGTTGTGCAGTCCGGGCGTCTCAGTCCGGGGGTCTCTGTCCGTGCAGTCCGGGCGCCTCAGTCCGGGCGCCTCAGTTTGGGCGTCTCTGTCGTGCAGTCCGGGCGCCTCAGTTCGGGCGTCTCTGTCGTGCAGTCCGGGCGCCTCAGTCCGGGCGCCTCAGTCCGGGCGCCTCAGTCCGGGCGCCTCAGTCCGGGCGTCTCTGCCGTGCAGTCCGTGCGCCTCAGTCTGTGCGCCTCAGTCGGGGTCTCTGCCCGTGCAGTCCGTGCGCCTCAGTTCAGGGCGTCTCTGCCGTGCAGTCCGTGCGCCTCAGTCCGGGCGCCTCAGTCCGGGCGTCTCTGCCTGCAGTCCGGGCGTCTCTGTCCGGGGGTCTCTGCCGTGCAGTCCGGGCGCCTCAGTCCGGGGGTCTCTGCCGTGCAGTCCGGGCGCCTCAGTCCGGGGGTCTCTGCCGTGCAGTCCGGGCGTCTCAGTCCGGGGGTCTCTGCCGTGCAGTCCAGGGCGTCTCAGTCCGGGGGTCGCTCTGCCGTGCAGTCCGGGCGTCTCAGTCCGGGGGTCTCTGCCGTGCAGTCCGGGCGCCTCAGTCCGGGCGCCTCAGTTCGGGCGTCTCTGTCGTGCAGTCCGGGCGTCTCAGTCCGGGGGTCTCTGCCGTGCAGTCGGGCGCCTCAGTCCGTGCGCCTCAGTCCGGGCGTCTCTGTCGTGCAGTCCGGGCGCCTCAGTCCGGGCGCCTCAGTCCGGGCGCCTCAGTCCGGGCGTCTCTGTTGTGCAGTCCGGGCGTCTCAGTCCGGGGGTCTCTGCCGTGCAGTCCGGGCGCCTCAGTCCGGGGGTCTCTGCCGTGCAGTCCGGGCGCCTCAGTCCGGGCGCCTCAGTCCAACGCTCGAACATTCGTCACCATTGACTTTGCTTTGAAAGTCGCCGCAGCAGGATCGGTCTGAACGCTCCGTTAAAGTCTCATGACAGTTCATAAAGAAACGCCTTCATTCACATGTGTTTGTTTTTCAGACCTGTGGGGACACCGTTTGAAGACGGTGAGTTTAGTGTGTCTGTGGGTGTCTGTGGGTGTGTGTGTCTGTGTGTCTCCCTCTGTGTTTGTGTGTCTCAATAATGAAATTTGATACTGTCTCACATTGTTTTCCTCCACGTGTGTGTGTGTGTGTGTGTGTGTGTGTGTGTGTGTGTGTGTGTGTGTGTGTGTGTGTGTGTGTGTGTGTGTGTGTGTGTGTGTGTGTGTGTGTGTGTGTCCGTGTGTCTCCGTGTCTCCCTGTTGTGTGTGTGTGTGTGTCTCCGTGTCTCCCTGTTGTGTGTGTGTGTGTGTCTCCGTGTGTCTCCGTGTCTCCCTGTTGTGTGTGTGTGTCTTCTGTTGTGTAGGAACCTTTAAGCTGCTGATAGAGTTTTCAGAGGAGTATCCAAACAAACCTCCCACGGTGCGCTTCGTGTCCCGGATGTTTCACCCCAACGGTAAGAACTACACACTGTGTGTGATGACTGCTACACACTGTGTGTGATGACTGCTACACACTGTGTGTGATTGCTACTCTGTGTGTGATGAATGTGTTTCTCCTGAAGGTTGTGTGTTTGTGATGAGGTTGTGTGTGTTTGCGATGCGGTTGTGTGTGTTTGTGATGAGGTTGGTTGTGTGTGTTTGTGATGAGGTTGTGTGTGTTTGTGATGAGGTTGTGTGTGTTTGCGATGAGGTTGTGTGTGTTTGCGATGAGGTTGTGTGTGTTTGCGATGAGGTTGTGTGTGTTTGCGATGAGGCTGTGTGTGTTTGCGATGAGGCTGTGTGTGTTTGCGATGAGGCTGTGTGTGTTTGCGATGAGGCTGTGTGTGTTTGCGATGAGGCTGTGTGTGTTTGCGATGAGGTTGTGTGTGTTTGCGATGAGGCTGTGTGTGTTTGCGATGAGGCTGTGTGTGTTTGCGATGACGCTGTGTGTGTTTGCGATGAGGCTGTGTGTGTTTGCGATGAGGTTGTGTGTGTTTGCGATGAGGTTGTGTGTGTTTGCGATGAGGTTGTGTGTGTTTGCGATGAGGCTGTGTGTGTTTGCGATGAGGCTGTGTGTGTTTGCGATGAGGCTGTGTGTGTTTGCGATGAGGCTGTGTGTGTTTGCGATGAGGTTGTGTGTGTTAGTGATGAGGTTGTGTGTGTTAGTGATGAGGTTGTGTGTGTTTGTGATGAGGTTGTGTGTCTCTTTACAGTGTACGCAGATGGCAGCATATGTTTAGACATCCTTCAGAATCGCTGGAGTCCAACGTACGACGTGTCCTCAATCCTCACCTCCATCCAGGTACTCGAGTAACACACAGGTACTCGAGTAACACTCGGGTACTCGAGTAACACTCAGGTACTCGAGTAACACACAAGTAGAACACACTCGAGTAACACACAGGTACTCGAGTAACACTACAGGCACTCGAGTCAAAACCACAGGTACTCAGTAACACTACTCGAGTAAACACACTCAGGTACTCGAGTAGAGTAACCCACAGGTACTCGAGTAACACTCAGGCACTCGAGTAACACAACAGGTACTCGAGTAACACTCAGGCACTCGAGTAACACTCAGGCACTCGAGTAACACTCAGGCACTCGAGTAACACACAGGCACTCGAGTAACCCACAGGCACTCGAGTAACACTCAGGCACTCGAGTAACACACAGGTACTCGAGTAACACTCAGGCACTCGAGTAACCCACAGGTACTCGAGTAACACACAGGCACTCGAGTAACCCACAGGCACTCGAGTAACACTCAGGCACTCGAGTAACACACAGGTACTCGAGTAACACTCAGGCACTCGAGTAACCCACAGGTACTCGAGTAACACTCAGGCACTCGAGTAACACACAGGTACTCGAGTAACACTCAGGTACTCGAGTAACCCACAGGTACTCGAGTAACACTCAGGCACTCGAGTAACACACAGGTACTCGAGTAACACTCAGGTACTCGAGTAACACTCAGGCACTCGAGTAACACACAGGTACTCGAGTAACACTCAGGTACTCGAGTAACTGAGGATGTAGACCCAGAACTGAGCCTCCCAGGCGATACCCAATCTGTGACATAATGTTTACACTCCCCCTTCCCCCCCATCTCACTTCCCCTCTCCCCCCTCCCATCTCACCTCCCCTCTCCCCCCTCCCATCTCCTCCCCTCTCCCCCCTCCCATCTCACCTCCCCTCTCCCCCCTCCCATCTCACCTCCCCTCTCCCCCCTCCCATCTCACCTCCCCCTCCCCCCTCCCCACCCCCCTCTCCCCCCTCCCATCTCCCTCCCCTCTCCCCCCTCCCATCTCACCTCCCCTCTCCCCCCTCCCATCTCACTTCCCCTCTCCCCCCTCCCATCTCACCTCCCTCTCCCCCCTCCCATCTCACCTCCCCTCTCCCCCCCTCCCATCTCACTTCCCCTCTCCCCCCACCCATCTCACCTCCCCTCTCCCCCCTCCCATCTCACCTCCCCTCTCCCCCCTCCCATCTCACCTCCCCTCTCCCCCCTCCCATCTCACTCCCCTCTCCCCCCTCCCATCTCACCTCCCCCTCCCCCCACCCCTCTCACCTCCCCTCTCCCCCCTCCCATCTCACCTCCCCTCTCCCCCCACCCCTCTCACCTCCCCTCTCCCCCCTCCCATCTCACCTCCCCTCTCCCCCCTCCCATCTCACCTCCCCTCTCCCCCCACCCATCTCACCTCCCCTCTCCCCCCTCCCCTCTCCCCCAGTCTCTCCTGGATGAGCCGAACCCCAATAGTCCAGCGAACAGCCAGGCGGCGCAGTTGTACCAGGAAAACAAACGCGAGTACGAGAAGCGAGTGACGGCCATCGTGGAGCAGAGCTGGGTGGACGTGTAGAGACTCTTCATCATCTTCCTCCTCTTCCTCATCTTCCTCCTCCACAAACATCACAGTCTGAGTGACGCCGCAAACACCACAGGCTCCGAAACCTTCTCTCTCTGAACATGTAGCTCCACTTTCTCTGACTCTGCTTCAGGCTGCTCCATCGTCGGGGACAGAGACCTGAGACCAGGACTAATGTGATAGGACTTCAGGACAGAGACCTGAGACCAGGACTAATGTGAGAGGACTTCAGGACAGAGACCTGAGACCAGGACTAATGTGAGAGGACTTCAGGACAGAGACCTGAGACCAGGACTAATGTGAGAGGACTTCAGGACAGAGACCTGAGACCAGGACTAATGTGAGAGGACTTCAGGACAGAGACCTGAGACCAGGACTAATGTGAGAGGACTTCAGGACAGAGACCTGAGACCAGGACTAATGTGAGAGGACTTCAGGACAGAGACCTGAGACCAGGACTAATGTGAGAGGACTTCAGGACAGAGACCTGAGACCAGGACTAATGTGAGAGGACTTCAGGACAGAGACCTGAGACCAGGACTAATGTGAGAGGACTTCAGGACAGAGACTTGAGACCAGGACTAATGTGAGAGGACTTCAGGACAGAGACCTGAGACCAGGACTAATGTGAGAGGACTTCAGGACAGAGACCTGAGACCAGGACTAATGTGAGAGGACTTCAGGACAGAGACCTGAGACCAGGACTAATGTGAGAGGACTTCAGGACAGAGACCTGAGACCAGGACTAATGTGAGAGGACTTCAGGACAGAGACCTGAGACCAGGACTAATGTGAGAGGACTTCAGGACAGAGACCTGAGACCAGGACTAATGTGAGAGGACTTCAGGACCAGACACCTGAGACCAGGACTAATGTGAGAGGACTTCAGGACAGAGACCTGAGACCAGGACTAATGTGAGAGGACTTCAGGACAGAGACCTGAGACCAGGACTAATGTGAGAGGACTTCAGGACAGAGACCTGAGACCAGGACTAATGTGAGAGGACTTCAGGACAGAGACCTGAGACCAGGACTAATGTGAGAGGACTTCAGGACAGAGACCTGAGACCAGGACTAATGTGAGAGGACTTCAGGACAGAGACCTGAGACCAGGACTAATGTGAGAGGACTTCAGGACAGAGACCTGAGACCAGGACTAATGTGAGAGGACTTCAGGACAGAGACCTGAGACCAGGACTAATGTGAGAGGACTTCAGGACAGAGACCTGAGACCAGGACTAATGTGAGAGGACTTCAGGACAGAGACCTGAGACCAGGACTAATGTGAGAGGACTTCAGGACAGAGAAATGAGACCAGGACTAATGTGAGAGGACTTCAGGACAGAGACCTGAGACCAGGACTAATGTGAGAGGACTTAAGGACAGAGACCTGAGACCAGGACTAATGTGAGAGGACTTCAGGACAGAGAAATGAGACCAGGACTAATGTGAGAGGACTTCAGGACACAGACCTGAGACCAGGACTAATGTGAGAGGACTTCAGGACAGAGACCTGAGACCAGGACTAATGTGAGAGGACTTCAGGACAGAGACCTGAGACCAGGACTAATGTGAGAGGACTTCAGGACACAGACCTGAGACCAGGACTAATGTGAGAGGACTTCAGGACAGAGACCTGAGACCAGGACTAATGTGAGAGGACTTCAGGACAGAGACCTGAGACCAGGACTAATGTGAGAGGACTTCAGGACACAGACCTGAGACCAGGACTAATGTGAGAGGACTTCAGGACAGAGACCTGAGACCAGGACTAATGTGAGAGGACTTCAGGACAGAGACCTGAGACCAGGACTAATGTGAGAGGACTTCAGGACAGACCTGAGACCAGGACTAATGTGAGAGGACTTCAGGACAGAGACCTGAGACCAGGACTAATGTGAGAGGACTTCAGGACAGAGACCTGAGACCAGGACTAATGTGAGAGGACTTCAGGACACAGACCTGAGACCAAGACTAATGTGAGAGGACTTCAGGACAGAGACCTGAGACCAGGACTAATGTGAGAGGACTTCAGGACAGAGACCTGAGACCAGGACTAATGTGAGAGGACTTCAGGACAGAGACCTGAGACCAGGACTAATGTGAGAGGACTTCAGGACAGAGACCAGAGACCAGGTCTGATGTTGCAGCCTGAGTCTCTGAACATTTTGTTTGTGCCAAGTTTCTGTAAAACATACGATTCTGAAGCGGCTTCAGGAGACGAGGTCGATCAGACTGGTTTCTGTTATGTCCACATTTATAATTCTATTATTATGATTATTATTATGATTATTATTCTCCTAAAGTCCTTTCAGCCTCTGGGGCAGAGTTGGAGAAGCTTTAGACCTTTTCTTTTTCTTGCATGATGTGAATAAGTTATTTTTAACAGAATTTTGTAATATATCTTTTAAGTTTGACTGAACTCGTTTCTATTTTATTTTTATTTTCCGGTGTCAAAGAAACTGGGGACGTTTGGAGCCGAGGAAACTGTTTTAAATACAGTCCAGTTTAAATGGATCAGTCCTGCCGTATCGCTCTGAGCTCTGCCACTCCCCAACAGTGAAACCTCAGGTGAAGTTAGCGATCAGCAGATTCTGTGTCCTCTTCAAGGCAAAATGAGGTGAACGATTGTGGATAAAGTAGGTAAAGAAAAGGAACATTACTCTGTGGTTTTCAGACGGAAAGTATTTAGTTTTTATGTCTGATGTTCTTCATCTCGACTGTGACACCAAAGAAACATCCAGAAAATCATCAATATTTATTTGTAAATGAGGTGGAAAATGTTGTCTTCACAAGGTTTTCTCTCTGTTACTGGTATTTTGGCCCGTTCCTCCTCTGACAGGTGTTTTTTGGATTAAACTTTTCTGGATCTTTCTCGTGTTTCAGTTGAGATGAAGCTTTGATGAAAGATACTTCAGACTAAGAACTGTTTCTCACTTTGTCCACACACAGGCCTCACCTCTGTGTAAGCTGCAGGTTTAGCATTTAGCTAACAGCTAATGTGTCGTTATTTAATAATGATCAAAGTGAATCTAGGTTAAAACATTTATCTCGAAACAGCAAGTCCTGAAAGTCTGACTACGGCCCTAGTTACATAAACACCTGTGTTCACATAAACTCACATGAAGCAGAGGGCTGTGTGCCGATCACTTCCTCTCCTCCAGGGGGCGCTCTGACAGCTTTATACAGCAGCTGTTTATTTCAGTGGATTTTAATCAAGCCCCGGCGATGCAAGATGGCGCCCTATTCAAATGAATGGTTGTGCTCAGTGGTGCTTTGTGACGGCATGGGGGCTGAAAGATTAGCGGAAGTCGCCTGAAACTCTCAAAGATCTATGGGAAACTCTCATAGATCTATGGGAAACTCTCAAAGATCTATGGGAAACTCTCAAAGATCTATGGGAAACTCTCAAAGATCTATGGGAAACTCTCAAAGGTCTATGGGAAACTCTCAAAGATCTATGGGAAACTCTCAAAGGTCTATGGGAAACTCTCAAAGATCTATGGGAAACTCTCAAAGATCTATGGGAAACTCTCAAAGGTCTATGGGAAACTCTCAAAGGTCTATGGGAAACTCTCAAAGATCTATGGGAAACTCTCAAAGATCTATGGGAAACTCTCAAAGGTCTATGGGAAACTCTCAAAAGTCTATGGGAAACTCTCAAAGATCTATGGGAAACTCTCAAAGGTCTATGGGAAACTCTCAAAGGTCTATGGGAAACTCTCAAAGATCTATGGGAAACTGTCAAAGATCTATGGGAAACTGTCAAAGATCTATGGGAAACTCTCAAAGATCTATGGGAAACTCTCAAAGATCTATGAGAAACTCTCAAAGGTCTATGGGAAACTCTCAAAGGTCTATGGGAAACTCTCAAAGATCTATGGGAAACTGTCAAAGATCTATGGGAAACTGTCAAAGATCTATGGGAAACTGTCAAAGATCTATGGGAAACTCTCAAAGATCTATGAGAAACTCTCAAAGATCTATGAGAAACTCTCAAAGGTCTATGGGAAACTCTCAAAGATCTATGGGAAACTCTCAAAGATCTATGGGAAACTCTCAAAGATCTATGGGAAACTCTCAAAGATCTATGAGAAACTCTCAAAGGTCTATGGGAAACTCTCAAAGATCTATGGGAAACTCTCAAAGATCTATGGGAAACTCTCAAAGATCTTTGGGAAACTCTCAAAGGTCTATGGGAAACTCTCAAAGATCTATGGGAAACTCTCAAAGATCTATGGGAAACTCTCAAAGGTCTATGGGAAACTCTCAAAGGTCTATGGGAAACTCTCAAAGGTCTATGGGAAACTCTCAAAGGTCTATGGGAAACTCTCAAAGGTCTATGGGAAACTCTCAAAGGTCTATGGGAAACTCTCAAAGGTCTATGGGAAACTCTCAAAGGTCTATGGGAAACTCTCAAAGATCTATGAGAAACTCTCAAAGGTCTATGGGAAACTCTCAAAGGTCTATGGGAAACTCTCAAAGGTCTATGGGAAACTCTCCTGTATTTGGGCATCGTCTGGTCCTCCCGGTTCTGTGCAGTGGATGATCTCCCATAATGCATTGCCCCAAACACACGTGTGTGGGTCTCACACCGGGTCTCACGCACGTGCACAGAGGGTCTCACGCACGTGCACAGAGGGTCTCATGCACGTGCACAGAGGGTCTCTCGCACGTGCACAGAGGGGCTCGCTCTGACCAATCAGAGCGGGAGTTAGAGCCAGAGCCAGAGGAGCAGAGTTTGTGGCAGCAAAGTGTGGATTTAAACAAAACCGAAGGATTTAAGAAGAAAAAAAGTTCAGGACGACAAGGGACACTAACGTCCCCACAAAATCTGACCTTTATGAAAGCTGTAGGTTCTCTGTCAGGTTCTCTGTCAGGTTCTCTGTCAGCTGAGGTTGAGCTGTTTTAATATGCATTGAGTTCTATGGGGAATTTAGTCTGGTTCAGTCTGGTTCAGTCTGCAGTACCGAGAGAATCCCCCGAGCACATGAGTTATTCAGCTACAAGCTGTAACACCCTATCCAGTTATTATAATAGATCCATGATTTTAATGAAGGTCAAAGCAGCAAAGGTTCAGTGGGTTTTTCAAAAGTAAAGTTTAGTTTCTGGCCTTAAGGCCAGAAGGTCGTGGGTTCAATTCCCACCTCTGCACCTTCTCCACCAACTCCCACTGATGACTGCTGTCGTTGTGTCCTTGGGCAAGACACTTAACCCCACTTTGCCCAAAGCCCCCACTGAAAGATCAAGGCTATGCTCACACTCAGAGAGCAGCCGTCCTCCTGTGGACTCACCACCTGCAGAGGGTCAGTGAGGGGCTGGTGCTATGAGACTTGGGTGGCATCTCTGACTGCCACCCCCCTGACCCAGAAATGGATTAAAGGGAAGAACATGGATGGATGGAGGTTTAGTTTCAGACATTTTACATTCTCACAATATAATATTTATTTAGACATGTTCTCTAGAATATTCTACAGAGGAAAAGTTTTAATGTTCTCTAGAATATTCTACAGAGGAAAAGTTTTAATGTTCTCTAGAATATTCTACAGGGGAAAAGTTTTAATGTTCTCTAGAATATTCTACAGGGGAAAAGTTTTAATGTTCTCTAGAATATTCTACAGGGGAAAAGTTTTAAAGCGTTTTAAACCTGAATATCCAAGTTGTAAGTTTCAGAAATTGATTTTGCCATTAAATTGTAAAATGGCTTTTTGGTCTGAAAACAGAAGTCATTTATGACACACAACACATTTAGAAACACACACAACACATTAACATACTAGCCCAGTCCAGAACAAAGAGGATCCATAAGCTCCAGGCGGCGACCTCTGACCTTCAGGCGGCGACATCTGACAACAGCCTTTGTGCTGCAGCAAATCTATAAATTAAACTGTTCTTACTTCAAATCCCAATATTTGGATTGATCAAAAATCTGAGGAAATCCTCTGCTTTAATTCTGGAGAACCCCGACGTCCCCGTGGCCTTGGCTCTGCTTTAATTCTGGAGAACCCCGACGTCCCCGTGGCCTTGGCTCTGCTTTAGTTCTGGAGAACCCCGACGTCCCCGTGGCCTTGGCTCTGCTTTAGTTCTGGAGAACCCCGACGTCCCCGTGGCCTTGGCTCTGCTTTAGTTCTGGAGAACCCCGACGTCCCCGTGGCCTTGGCTCTGCTTTAGTTCTGGAGAACCCCGACGTCCCCGTGGCCTTGGCTCTGCTTTAGTTCTGGAGAACCGACGTCCCCGTGGCCTTGGCTCTGCTTTAGTTCTGGAGAACCGACGTCCCCGTGGCCTTGGCTCTGCTTTAGTTCTGGAGAACCCCGACGTCCCCGTGGCCTTGGCTCTGCTTTAGTTCTGGAGAACCCCGACGTCCCCGTGGCCTTGGCTCTGCTTTAGTTCTGGAGAACCCCGACGTCCCCGTGGCCTTGGCTCTGCTTTAGTTCTGGAGAACCCCGACGTCCCCGTGGCCTTGGCTCTGCTTTAGTTCTGGAGAACCGACGTCCCCGTGGCCTTGGCTCTGCTTTAGTTCTGGAGAACCCCGACGTCCCCGTGGCCTTGGCACCGCTTTAGTCTGAAGCTGCATAGACCTCTTCATACCGAGCCTTTAGTTCTCAGCATCAGTTCCAAAGGGAGCAGCTGCAGTGGCGCGTCACCACAGGCAGAGGGCGTACGTCAGACTTTTGTGAATGAAAACAATGTAAACTTATGAAATGCTGTATAAACATAATAAACACATTTTTCAGACTTTAGACTTGTGGACCCAGTCTTTCATGTTCTTAAAGGACGCTTCATGAGCTCTGACTGCAGACGCTGCTCCCAGGACAGGTCTCTGCTCAGACTGCTGCCATAGTGACCCAGAAACAGATAAAGCGGAAGAAGGAGGCAGAGAAAAAGTAACATTTTAAACTCAGTTTATGCAGATTTTTATTCAAAAACAGGAAAAACCACAAAGAACGAGTCATCTGTTTCAACACGACAGTTTCTCTGCACCTGTACTGCACCTGTACAGCACCTGTACAGACACCAGTGCACCAGTGCAGGCACCAGTACACCTGTACAGGCACCAGTGCAGGCACCAGTGCAGGCACCAGTACACCTGTACAGGCACCAGTGCAGAGAGAAGAGAAACAAGGACCTGGACCATAGGTTCAAAAAGTACAGTTTTAAAAAGTTTTACAGAAACGATAAAAAGATATTTATATAAAAACCAAGAGACTTAAAACCATGGACCTGAGGTCACATGGTCTATCCATCTATAAACAGTTAAAACCAGCAGAATTAGCGCCACATGAGTCTCCTGTGGGATGTTTTTGTTGACGTTAAAAACAGTCCATGTTCTGACAGCAGATGAACGTCGGCGCCCCTGCGGCTGAACGTCGGCGCCCCTGCGGCTGAACGTCGGCGCCCCTGCGGCTGAACGTCGGCGCCCCTGCGGCTGAACGTCGGCGCCCCTGCGGCTGAACGTCAGCGCCCCTGCGGCTGAACGTCAGCGCCCCTGCGGCTGAACGTCAGCGCCCCTGCAGGAGAGACACAGGTCAAAACACTTAGGCCCTGTCCACACGAAGTCAAGCTCAGGCCTAAACGCAAAAATACTTTATCAATCCAGTGTATCGTCCATACGAGGCCGGCGTTTTAGGGGGGTGTAAACGAACATTTTTGAAACTAGGTCCCAGAGTGGAAAGATTTCAAAACTCCGTATATGCCGCTCCGTGGTTACTGCCTCTCCGCAATGTATCTGAGACGCGTCATCGCCCCGCCTCTTGTTAAAGCAGCATGCGCCGCACTCAGAAAATAATGACAACAACAATGTAGCTTGTTGGTTTTGTAATCCAGTGTGACCCGAAGCAACAGTTCAACCTCATCGTCCGTCCATACTAATGTAGTACCAGCTCGCCCACTCGCCATGTTGTCTGTTTACAACATTGGCCCACTTCCTGTACGTTCAGTTTTATTAGGCCCAGTTTCCAGAACTCAATGGGGAGGGGGCTCCTGTGGCCCAGCGTCACATCCTCCTGGACCTAAACATTCACCATTCCCCCCTCGCTTCGTCATCGTTCACTTTTTAAACCTTTAACACACGGAGGAACTGCTCACAGAGTGAACCTGAGTCTCGAGACAGTTGGCCTTTACCAGCATATATATAGTTATAAATATACAACATATAGTTTTATATATATGTGCTGTATATTTATACATGTAGGGTGTGCTGCTTGTACCTGCTGCTGCTTCATGATCTCGTCTCTGGTTTTAAAAACAGGAGCGTCTTCCACCACGATCCCTTCGGCCATTTCTCTGACTCTCTGCAGAAGCTCCTCGCTGTATCTGAAACAGGAAGTATTAAAGAATATAAGTATACAGTACTTACAGTACAAGTACATTTGACTTTGTTTCTATAAGTGGATTTCATCTCATTATCTATGTTCGCACTGTGAATAGTTCTTGCTTTAACTCCCAGTGCAGTCATTTTGACTGCTCCAAATATTTTATTAAACATTACTAACGTAGCCATTTTAGGAAACTATTATTCTGAGGCAGTAATGGTTCTGGTCTGGTCCTGGACTGGTCCTAGTCTAGTACTGGTCCTGGGACAGCTGGAGTGTCCACCAGAGCAGAGCCAGAACTACCATAGCATCACACTGTTTCCTTGCATCAGTTAGCATTGGTCGTTAGCATTGGTCGTTAGCATTAGCCGTTAGCATTAGCTTTTCACCAAACGTTGATGTATTTACAGTTATATTCAGGAGTATTAGCACTTTAAAAACCCTCAAAAGATTGACTTTGAATAATTCTGGTGAGAACCTACCTCCTTTACAAGTGTTTGAAAGGCTCTCACCTGCAGCCCATGAACACGTTGTTGGCCCACACCATGGACAGCGACAGCAGCTGGTCCTGGGAGTCCGGCCGGAAGTCGCCCTTGTTCCGCAGGATGAACTCCCTCCTCGCGGCCCAGTGCTTCTCACTCTCCCAGTACCCGCGAGACGCCTCCACCTCCGCCGCCTCCGCTCGGTTCTGCTGCAGAAAGTCCTGTACGTCCGCGGCCGCCATGACACTTCTCCTCCGACCACAGCCACAGAGACAGAGGCACTTCCTGTGGGAGACGTCAGCGCCATGAGAGCGACCTCCTGCGGCGGGAAGAGGAACTGCAGCCTACACTGTTATGGTCATTAATATATACAGTCTATGGGTCATACACAAGAGCTCAAAGTAACCAAACAAGGTAGACCAGAGAGAGACCAGAGAGAGACCAGAGAGAGACCAGAGAGAGACCAGAGAGAGACCAGAGAGAGACCAGAGAGAGACCAGAGAGAGACCAGAGAGAGAGACCAGAGAGAGACCAGAGAGAGACCAGAGAGAGACCAGAGAGAGAGACCAGAGAGAGACCAGAGAGAGACCAGAGAGAGACCAGAGAGAGAGACCAGAGAGACCAGAGAGAGACCAGAGAGAGAGACCAGAGAGAGACCAGAGAGAGACCAGAGAGAGACCAGAGAGAGAGACCTGAGAGAGAGACCAGAGAGAGACCAGAGAGAGACCAGAGAGAGAGACCAGAGAGAGAGACCAGAGAGAGACCAGAGAGAGAGACCAGAGAGAGAGACCAGAGAGACCAGAGAGAGACCAGAGAGAGACCAGAGAGAGACCAGAGAGAGAGACCAGAGAGAGAGACCAGAGAGAGAGACCAGAGAGACCAGAGAGAGAGACCAGAGAGAGACCAGAGAGAGAGACCAGAGAGACCAGAGAGAGAGACCAGAGAGAGACCAGAGAGAGAGACCAGAGAGAGAGACCAGAGAGAGAGACCAGAGAGAGAGAGACCAGAGAGAGAGACCAGAGAGAGAGACCAGAGAGAGAGACCAGAGAGAGAGACCAGAGAGAGAGACCAGAGAGAGAGACCAGAGAGAGAGACCAGAGAGAGAGACCAGAGAGAGAGACCAGAGAGAGACCAGAGAGAGACCAGAGAGAGACCAGAAAGAGACCAGAAAGAGACCAGAAAGAGACCAGAGAGAGACCAGAGAGAGACCAGAGAGAGACCAGAGAGAGACCAGAGAGAGACCAGAGAGAGACCAGAGAGAGACCAGAGAGAGACCAGAGAGAGACCAGAGAGAGACCAGAGAGAGACCAGAGAGAGACCAGAGAGACACCAGAGAGACACCAGAGAGAGACCAGAGAGAGACCAGAGAGAGACCAGAGAGAGACCAGAGAGAGACCAGAGAGAGACCAGAGAGAGACCAGAAAGAGACCAGAAAGAGACCAGAGAGAGACCAGAGAGAGACCAGAGAGAGACCAGAGAGAGACCAGAAAGAGACCAAGGGAATGGACAAGTTGAGAGATTCAATCGAACAGAGAGAGACCAGAGAGAGACCACCTTCAGATGTTAAAAACACTGACTGAGAAACAAAAGAGTGACTGGAAGGGCTCACTAAACAAAATGGTGTATGCATATAACTGTACTAGAAGTGAGGTGACAGGGTTTTCTCCTTTTTACTTACTTTATGGGCGTTCACCACGGTTACCAGTGGACATGTTTAGTTTAACTTCAAACCAAGGCAAGAGTGACTGTGACCATCAGAGTTACATGCATAAGTGGAGACAGGGTATGAAAGATGCGTATGAGGTCACACGACAAAAAGCAAACAAAGCTGCCACCAGGAGTAAGAGACTATATGACAGTAAACTGAGGTACTCCGCTTTGTTACCGGGTGATCGTGTCCTAGTCAGGAACTTGACTCCACGTGGGGGTCCAGGCAAACTCAGAATCCACTGGGAGAGCATTGTGCACACAGTGGTTCGGCAAGTGAGCAAAGATATTCCTGTTTATGAACTGAAACCTGAGAGAGGCAATGGCAGGTCCAGACCATTACATCGGAATCTCCTACTGCCATGTGACACTTGCCTCTAGAGGCTTCTTTGGAGCCAAAGAAAAAGACAACAAAACGAGCAGGGACTCGAACAGAGGTGACTGAGTCAGAAGAGGATGACGATGAGGGAGAGTATTATCCAGTGCCACGCCACCGTAACACTCGCCCTGATTCCCCGCCACAGCAGGAGGGGACTGCGGAGTTCATGAGGAAGATCAGCCTGCAGGTGTACTCCCAGAGACAGAACCTGAAGAAGACCGTCCACCAGATGATGTCTGCCAGGAAGAAGTGTTGCCTGGGGAGGAGCCTGACCCGCCACCTTCTCCAGACGAAGGCCGGCGGCCGAGACGTGACCACAGAAAACCAAGGGTATTTACCTATGACAGACTCGGTACACCGACTTGTCACAATATTATGACATTTCCCTATAATAATGGTGAGCAGAACATGCCATGGTTGCATGATGTACATCCTTATTATTTTCAAGAGTTTTACAGACATGGTTGATACTTTTGTTTGCTTGAAGAGTTGGGTGCATATTTGCATAAATACACTGAACTATTGATGTTGGGATCACTTCTCATTTTATTTTGAAACTGATTTCAGTTGTTTACATGCATCAGACTGAAACAAATGGAAATATATCGTGATGGTATTTTTTGTTGTTGCGTGTTTAAGTGAAGTGGACACTTCTGGCAATGTTGAGTTTTGACTCAAAGCATGTATGAAAAGAGTTCCAGTCTGTAAAAAGAAACAAGATGGAAGTGTTTGTTTTTGTTTGTGTGGATGTAATTACTTGGTAATCTACAGATGCAACATCTATTTTGAGGGGGAGTATGTGACAGGTTGAAATACAGGATTATCATTTCAAACAATTGTAAAAGGCAATATATGACATGATTTCATAACAATTAGAAACAGATTTAATGAGAGATAAAAAGTATATATGTAAAAAATGTAAAAGTAAATCTGTTACAAAGTTCGTTGTTATTGGTTGGCGGAGACATGTGAAACGCGCCTGCGCATAAGGTCTGGGGTTCTTTTTTGGAAAATAAACTGCCGAGTGAGAACGCAACTCTTTTCTCCTGTTTATTCATTCTCAAAGCAACCACGTACCAAAACCACGGAGCAGAGGGCGCAACATACACACGGGCAAATCCATGTGAGAGTTCATGATTGGCAGACGATGTCATTCAGCCTCATCTCCAGTGTCCCCCTCGAGCGAGCGTGTTGCGAGGTCTTTAACTGTTCCACAAACACTCCTCTGTCCAGTCACGGCGCCCTCAACCACAACACCACTCAACTCCTTCTACATACCATCAATTTTGTTGGACAGCAGGTCGTGAATTTTATGAGCCGCCATCGTTCCAAATTTACGGTAAAAAAGGACCACTCCAAACCCGAAAAGGAGGATCCCCACCACCAGAATTTCAAAGATATATACGTCTTCCGAATCTTCAACAGACAGGACCGACAAACAAAGGGGTTTCCACTTGTTCCAGCTGTCAACAGTATACCCCGCAGGTGTCAACAGTGTACCCCGCAGGTGTCAACAGTGTACCCCGCAGGTGTCAACAGTATACCCCGCAGGTGTCAACAGTATACCCCGCAGGTGTCAACAGTATACCCCGCAGGTGTCAACAGTATACCCCGCAGGTGTCAACAGTATACCCCGCAGGTGTCAACAGTGTACCCCGCAGCTGTCAACAGTATACCCCGCAGGTGTCAACAGTGTACCCCGCAGGTGTCAACAGTGTACCCCGCAGGTGTCAACAGTGTACCCCGCAGGTGCCAACAGTATACCCCGCAGCTGTCAACAGTATACCCCGCAGCTGTCAACAGTACACCCCGCAGGTGTCAACAGTGTACCCCGCAGGTGTCAACAGTGTACCCCGCAGGTGTCAACAGTGTACCCCGCAGGTGTCAACAGTATACCCCGCAGGTGTCAACAGTATACCCCGCAGGTGTCAACAGTGTACCCCGCAGCTGTCAACAGTATACCCCGCAGGTGTCAACAGTATACCCCGCAGGTGTCAACAGTATACCCCGCAGGTGTCAACAGTGTACCCCGCAGGTGTCAACAGTATACCCCGCAGGTGTCAACAGTGTACCCCGCAGGTGTCAACAGTGTACCCCGCAGGTGTCAACAGTATACCCCGCAGGTGTCAACAGTATACCCCGCAGGTGTCAACAGTGTACCCCGCAGGTGTCAACAGTATACCCCGCAGGTGTCAACAGTATACCCCGCAGGTGTCAACAGTATACCCCGCAGGTGTCAACAGTATACCCCGCAGGTGTCAACAGTATACCCCGCAGGTGTCAACAGTGTACCCCGCAGGTGTCAACAGTGTACCCCGCAGGTGTCAACAGTATACCCCGCAGGTGTCAACAGTATACCCCGCAGGTGTCAACAGTATACCCCGCAGGTGTCAACAGTATACCCCGCAGGTGTCAACAGTATACCCCGCAGGTGTCAACAGTGTACCCCGCAGGTGTCAACAGTGTACCCCGCAGGGGTCAACAGTACACCCCGCAGGTGTGTACCCCGCAGCTGTCAACAGTATACCCCGCAGGTGTCAACAGTATACCCCGCAGGTGTCAACAGTATACCCCGCAGGTGTCAACAGTGTACCCCGCAGGTGTCAACAGTATACCCCGCAGGTGTCAACAGTGTACCCCGCAGGTGTCAACAGTGTACCCCGCAGGTGTCAACAGTATACCCCGCAGGTGTCAACAGTGTACCCCAGTGTCAACAGTGTACCCCGCAGGTGTCAACAGTGTATACCCCGCAGGTGTCAACAGTATACCCCGCAGTGTCAACAGTATACCAGTATACCCCGCAGGTGTCAACAGTATACCCCGCAGGTGTCAACAGTATACCCCGCAGGTGTCAACAGTATACCCCGCAGTGTGTCAACAGTATACCCCGCAGGTGTCAACAGTGTACCCCCGCAGGTGTCAACAGTATACCCCGCAGGTGTCAACAGTATACCCCGCAGGTGTCAACAGTATACCCCGCAGTGTCACAGTGTCAACAGTCACAGTTACCCCGCAGGTGTCAACAGTACCCCAGGTGTACACCCCCGCAGGTGCACAGTGTACCCCGCAGGTGTCACAAGCAGTGTACCCCGCAGTGTCAACAGTTCCCCGCAGGTGTCAACAGTGTACCCCGCAGGTGTCAACAGTATACCCCGCAGGTGTCAACAGTATACCCCGCAGGTGTCAACAGTGTACCCCGCAGCTGTCAACAGTGTACCCCGCAGCTGTCAACAGTGTACCCCGCAGCTGTCAACAGTGTACCCCGCAGCTGTCAACAGTGTACCCCGCAGGTGTCAACAGTGTACCCCGCAGGTGTCAACAGTGTACCCCGCAGCTGTCAACAGTGTACCCCGCAGCTGTCAACAGTGTACCCCGCAGCTGTCAACAGTGTACCCCGCAGCTGTCAACAGTGTACCCCACAGGTGTCAACAGTGTACCCCGCAGGTGCCGTCCCGTCTGGGCACGAGGGCTCCCCCGGTCCTCACTTACGAGAGAGAGCAAACGGGCCGGAGCGGTCTGAGGACACGTCTGTGCTCGACGGAGGCGGAATTACGGGAATTCTGGCCCGTTACTCCTGACAGACCAGTCCTTTCCTCATGTATGATCGGAGCCACATACTGTCAATAAACTACACACACACACAGCAGTGGAGTGTGTAGTGTAGAATAGTGTGTTGTGTAGAGTTGTGTACCTGGTCTGACAGCAGGGTGGCGCTCTTCTCTTGGTGCGGTCCCAGGGCCCAGGTTCCCAACATGTGGTCCGCAGTGATGTGGACGGACTGAGCCAACCAGCTGTCGAAGAGCGAGCTCTGCAGCGGGAAGGAGCGAGGCAGCCCTGGAAAAACACACACACTTTAGAGTTTCCCCTTTGCACAACACACAGGCACACACACACAGACACACACACAGACAGACACACACAGGCACACACACACACAGACACACACACACACACACAGACAGACACACACAAACACACAATTTTAATGATGTCTGTTTTTCTACTGAAGCTTTTGCAGTATGTATTTTTCCTGTTTGTCAGAAGACGACAGCAGGAGGTGCTGTTTGGAAGCATTTAACAGCTGCAAGCAACACACACATACACACTTACACACACACACACAACCACACATACACGCACACACACATACACACTTACACACACACACACAGACACATACACACACACACACAACCACACACACACACACACACACACACACACACACACACACAACCACACATACACGCACACACATACACACTTACACACACACACAACCACACACATATACACACACACACACACACACACACACACACACAACCACACATACACACACACAGACACACACACACAGACACATACACACACACACACAACCACACATACACACACACAGACACACACACAGACACACACACATACACACACACATACACACACACACACAGACAGACACACACACACACACACAGACACACACAACCACACACACACACACACATGACGCAGCAGGAATGAGGTGAGCAGAGAGAGGGGAGGGGCCGGTGACGAAGGGAAAAACTGGCAGCGAGAGAAAACAGAGGAGGAGGAAGGAGAGAGGAGGAGGAAGGAGAGAGGAGGAGGAGGGAGAGAGGAGGAGGAAGGAGAGAGGAGGAGGAGGGAGAGAGGAGGAGGAAGGAGAGAGGAGGAGGAAGAGCAGGAGGAAGGAGGGAGGAGGAGGAAGGAGAGAGGAGGAGGAGGAAGGAGAGAGGAGGAGGAAGAGCAGGAGGAAGGAGAGAGGAGGAGGAGGAGGAAGAGAGGAGGAGGAGAGAGGAGGAGGAGGAAGAGCAGGAGGAAGGAGGAGGAGGAAGGAGAGAGGAGGAGGAAGAGCAGGAGGAAGGAGAGAGGAGGAGGAGGAAGGAGAGAGGAGGAGGAGGAGGAAGGAGAAAGGAGGAGGAGGAAGGAGAGAGGAGGAAGAGGAGGAAGAGCAGGAGGAAGGAGAGAGGAGGAGGAAGGAGAGAGGAGGAGGAGGAAGGAGAGAGGAGGAGGAGGAGGAAGAGCAGGAGGAAGGAGAGAGGAGAAGGAGGAGGAAGAGCAGGAGGAAGGAGGAGGAGGAAGAAGAGAGGAGAGAGGAAGAGCAGGAGGGAGGAGAGAGGAGGAGGAGGAGGAAGGAGAGAGGAGGAGGAGGAGGAAGGAGAAAGGAGGAGGAGGAAGGAGAGAGGAGGAAGAGCAGGATTAAGTAGAGAGGAGGAGGAAGGAGAGAGGAGGAGGAGGAGGAAGAGCAGGAGGAAGGAGCGGAGGAGGAGGAAGAGGAGGAGGAAGAGCAGGAGGAAGGAGAGAGGAGGAGGAGGAAGGAGAGAGGAGGAGGAAGGAGAGAAGAGGAGGAGGAAGAGCAGGAGGAGGAGGAGGAAGAGCAGGAGGAGGAGGAAGAGCAGGAGAGGAGGAGGAAGAGTAGGAGGAAGAGCAGGAGGAGGAGGAGGAAGAGCAAGAGGAGGAGGAAGAGCAGGAGGAGGAGGAAGAGCAGGAGGAGGAGGAGGAAGAGCAAGAGGAGGAGGAAGAGCAGGAGGAGGAGGAAGAAGAGGGAGAGAGGAGGAGGAGCAGGAGGAGGAAATACTATCTAAGACTACAATATTCTTCATAAACACAGACAGATGCACGACATCAGTGTTACAGCTTCTTCCCCGTGTGAAGGACAGACAGGTCTGAAGGACAAACTGTGGCAGCAGTCTCTCCACACCATTCTCCTTTCACTCAAACACAGCAGTGATAAACGACTGTAGCCACAGCTGCCCTGGGCCAGACTGACCACAGACTGCTGTAGCCACAGACTGCTGTAGCCACAGACTGCTGTAGCCACAGCCGCCCTGGGCCAGACTGACCACAGACTGCTGTAGCCACAGCCGCCCTGGGCCAGACTGACCACAGACTGCTGTAGCCACAGCTGCCCTGGGGCAGACTGACCACAGACTGCTGTAGCCACAGACTGCTGTAGCCACAGCTGCCCTGGGCCAGACTGACCACAGACTGCTGTAGCCACAGCTGCCCTGGGCCAGACTGACCACAGACTGCTGTAGCCACAGACTGTTGTAGCCACAGACTGCTGTAGCCACAGCTGTCCTGGGGCAGACTGACCACAGACTGCTGTAGCCACAGCCGCCCTGGGGCAGACTGACCACAGACTGCTGTAGCCACAGACTGCTGTAGCCACAGCCGCCCTGGGGCAGACTGACCACAGACTGCTGTAGCCACAGACTGCTGTAGCCACAGCTGCCCTGGGGCAGACTGACCACAGACTGCTGTAGCCACAGCCGCCCTGGGGCAGACTGACCACAGACTGCTGTAGCCACAGACTGCTGTAGCCACAGCCGCCCTGGGGCAGACTGACCACAGACTGCTGTAGCCACAGACTGCTGTAGCCACAGCCGCCCTGGGCCAGACTGACCACAGACTGCTGTAGCCACAGCCGCCCTGGGGCAGACTGACCACAGACTGCTGTAGCCACAGACTGCTGTAGCCACAGCCGCCCTGGGGCAGACTGACCACAGACTGCTGTAGCCACAGCCGCCCTGGGGCAGACTGACCACAGACTGCTGTAGCCACAGACTGCTGTAGCCACAGCCGCCCTGGGGCAGACTGACCACAGACTGCTGTAGCCACAGCCGCCCTGGGGCAGACTGACCACAGACTGCTGTAGCCACAGACTGCTGTAGCCACAGCCGCCCTGGGGCAGACTGACCACAGACTGCTGTAGCCACAGACTGCTGTAGCCACAGCCGCCCTGGGGCAGACTGACCACAGAATCGTACCCATGTCTTGGAGCAGCCCGTCCTCGCTCCAGCGCTCCTTCTTGGTGGCGCTGCTCTTCCCTCGCTCCCTCCTTCGCTCCTTGGCTCCGTTCGGCTTCAGTTCTGCTCTGGGGCTTTGCTCTGCTCTAGGGCTTTGCTCTGCGGCACAACAACAGCAGGTTACAGCATTATGATAAGAATATTGGATTTCCACAGAGTAGTCAGAGTCAGAGTAGAAGGGGCGGGGTAAAGGGTGTGTCCCTCAGTGGGGGCGGGGTAAAGGGTGTGTCCCTCAGTGGGGGCGGGGTAAAGGGTGTGTCCCTCAGTGGGGGCGGGGTAAAGGGTGTGTCCCTCAGTGGGGGCGGGGTAAAGGGTGTGTCCCTCAGTGGGGGGCGGGGTAAAGGGTGTGTCCCTCAGTGGGGGGCGGGGTAAAGGGTGTGTCTCTCAGTGGGGGGCGGGGTAAAGGGTGTGTCCCTCAGTGGGGGGCGGGGTAAAGGGGTGTGTCCCTCAGTGGGGGCGGGGTAAAGGGTGTGTCCCTCAGTGGGGGGCGGGGTAAAGGGTGTGTCCCTCAGTGGGGGGCGGGGTAAAGGGTGTGTCTCAGTGGGGGCGGGGTAAAGGGTGTGTCTCAGTGGGGGCGGGGTAAAGGGTGTGTCCCTCAGTGGGGGGCGGGGTAAAGGGTGTGTCCCTCAGTGGGGGGCGGGGTAAAGGGTGTCCCTCAGTGGGGGCGGGGTAAAGGGTGTGTCTCTCAGTGGGGGGCGGGGTAAAGGGTGTGTCCCTCAGTGGGGGGCGGGGTAAAGGGTGTGTCCCTCAGTTGGGGCGGGGTAAAGGGTGTGTCTCTCAGTGGGGGCGGGGTAAAGGGTGTGTCCCTCAGTGGGGGGCGGGGTAAAGGGTGTGTCTCTCAGTGGGGGCGGGGTAAAGGGTGTGTCTCTCAGTGGGGGGCGGGGTAAAGGGTGTGTCCCTCAGTGGGGGGCGGGGTAAAGGGTGTGTCTCTCAGTGGGGGGGCGGGGTAAAGGGTGTGTCCCTCAGTGGGGGGCGGGGTAAAGGGTGTGTCCCTCAGTGGGGGGCGGGGTAAAGGGTGTGTCCCTCAGTGGGGGCGGGGTAAAGGGTGTGTCTCTCAGTGGGGGGCGGGGTAAAGGGTGTGTCCCTCAGTGGGGGGCGGGGTAAAGGGTGTGTCCCTCAGTGGGGGGCGGGGTAAAGGGTGTGTCCCTCAGTGGGGGGCGGGGTAAAGGGTGTGTCCCTCAGTGGGGGGCGGGGTAAAGGGTGTGTCCCTCAGTGGGGGGCGGGGTAAAGGGTGTGTCCCTCAGTGGGGGGCGGGGTAAAGGGTGTGTCCCTCAGTGGGGGGCGGGGTAAAGGGTGTGTCCCTCAGTGGGGGCGGGGTAAAGGGTGTGTCCCTCAGTGGGGGCGGGGTAAAGGGTGTGTCCCTCAGTGGGGGCGGGGTAAAGGGTGTGTTGCAGTGTGTTGCCTCAGGGCACAGTGTGTTGCAGTGTGTTGCCTCAGGGCACAGTGTGTTGCAGTGTGTTGCCTCAGGGCACAGAGTGTTGCAGTGTGTTGCAGTGTGTTGCAGTGTGACACAGTGTGTTGCAGTGTGTTACAGTGTGACACAGTGCGTTGCAGTGTGTTGCCTCAGGGCACAGTGTGTTGTAGTGTGTTGCCTCAGGGCACAGTGTGTTGCAGTGTGTTGCCTCAGGGCACAGAGTGTTGCAGTGTGTTGCAGTGTGTTGCCTCAGGGCACAGTGTGTTGCAGTGTGACACACTGTCTTGCAGTGTGACACAGTGTGTTGCAGTGTGTTGCCTCAGGGCACAGTGTGTTGCAGTGTGTTACAGTGTGACACAGTGTGACACAGTGTGTTGCAGTGTGTTGCCTCAGGGCACAGTGTGTTGCAGTGTGTTGCAGTGTGTTGCCTCAGGGCACAGAGTGTTGCAGTGTGTTGCAGTGTGACACAGTGTGTTGCCTCAGGGCACAGAGTGTTGCAGTGTGTTGCAGTGTGTTGTAGTGTGTTGCAGTGTGACACAGTGTGACACAGTGTGTTGCCTCAGGGCACAGTGCGTTGTAGTGTGTTGCAGTGTGTTACAGTGTGACACAGTGTGTTGCAGTTTGTTACAGTGTGACACAGTGCGTTGCAGTGTGTTGCCTCAGGGCACAGTGTGTTGTAGTGTGTTGCATTGTGTTACAGTGTGACACAGTGTGACACAGTGTGTTGCAGTGTGTTGCAGTGTTTTGCAGTGTGTTGCAGTGTGACACAGTGTGTTGCCTCAGGGCACAGTGTGTTACAGTGTGACACAGTGTGTTGCAGTGTGTTGCAGTGTGACACAGTGTGTTGCAGTGTGTTGCCTCAGGACACAGTGTGTTGTAGTGTGACACAGTGTGTTGCAGTGTGACACAGTGTGACACAGTGTGTTGCCTCAGGACACAGTGTGTTACAGTGTGTTACAGTGTGTTGCCTCAGGACACAGTGTGTTACAGTGTGTTACAGTGTGTTGCCTCAGGGCACAGAGTGTTACAGTGTGTTGCCTCAGGACACAGTGTGTTACAGTGTGTTGCCTCAGGACACAGTGTGTTACAGTGTGTTGCAGTGTGTTGCAGTGTGTTGCCTCAGGACACAGTGTGTTACAGTGTGTTGCAGTGTGACACAGTGTGACACAGTGTGTTGCCTCAGGGCACAGAGGCAGTGACACAGTGTGTTGCCTCAGGGCACAGAGGCAGTGACACAGTGTGTTGCCTGTGGGCACAGAGGCAGTGACACAGTGTGTTGCCTGTGGGCACAGAGGCAGTGACACAGTGTGTTGCCTCAGGGCACAGAGGCAGTGACACAGTGTGTTGCCTGTGGGCACAGAGGCAGTGACTCAGTGTGTTGCCTGTGGGCACAGAGGCAGTGACACAGTGTGTTGCCTCAGGGCACAGAGGCAGTGACACAGTGTGTTGCCTGTGGGCACAGAGGCAGTGACACAGTGTGTTGCCTGTGGGCACAGAGGCAGTGACACAGTGTGTTGCCTGTGGGCACAGAGGCAGTGACACAGTGTGTTGCCTGTGGGCACAGAGGCAGTGACACAGTGTGTTGCCTCAGGGCACAGAGGCAGTGACACAGTGTGTTGCCTCAGGACACAGTGTGTTGTATTGTGACACAGTGTGTTGCAGTGTGACACAGTGTGACACAGTGTGTTACAGTGTGTTACAGTGTGTTGCCTCAGGGCACAGAGTGTTACAGTGTGTTGCAGTGTGTTGCCTCAGGGCACAGTGTGTTACAGTGTGTTACAGTGTGTTGCCTCAGGGCACAGTGTGTTACAGTGTGTTGCAGTGTGTTGCAGTGTGACACAGTGTGACACAGTGTGTTGCCTCAGGGCACAGAGTGTTACAGTGTGTTACAGTGTGTTGCCTCAGGACACAGTGTGTTACAGTGTGTTACAGTGTGTTGCCTCAGGACACAGTGTGTTACAGTGTGTTGCAGTGTGTTGCAGTGTGACACAGTGTGACACAGTGTGTTGCCTCAGGGCACAGAGTGTTACAGTGTGTTGCAGTGTGTTGCCTCAGGGCACAGTGTGTTACAGTGTGTTGCCTCAGGGCACAGAGTGTTACAGTGTGTTACAGTGTGTTGCCTCAGGACACAGTGTGTTACAGTGTGTTGCAGTGTGTTGCCTCAGGACACAGTGTGTTACAGTGTGTTGCAGTGTGACACAGTGTGACACAGTGTGTTGCCTGTGGGCACAGAGGCAGTGACACAGTGTGTTGCCTGTGGGCACAGAGGCAGTGACACAGTGTGTTGCCTGTGGGCACAGAGGCAGTGACACAGTGTGTTGCCTGTGGGCACAGAGGCAGTGACACAGTGTGTTGCCTGTGGGCACAGAGGCAGTGACACAGTGTGTTGCCTCAGGGCACAGAGGCAGTGACACAGTGTGTTGCCTCAGGGCACAGAGGCAGTGACACAGTGTGTTGCCTGTGGGCACAGAGGCAGTGACACAGTGTGTTGCCTCAGGGCACAGAGGCAGTGACACAGTGTGTTGCCTGTGGGCACAGAGGCAGTGACACAGTGTGTTGCCTGTGGGCACAGAGGCAGTGACACAGTGTGTTGCCTGTGGGCACAGAGGCAGTGACACAGTGTGTTGCCTGTGGGCACAGAGGCAGTGACACAGTGTGTTGCCTGTGGGCACAGAGGCAGTGACACAGTGTGTTGCCTGTGGGCACAGAGGCAGTGACACAGTGTGTTGCCTGTGGGCACAGAGGCAGTGACACAGTGTGTTGCCTGTGGGCACAGAGGCAGTGACACAGTGTGTTGCCTGTGGGCACAGAGGCAGTGACACAGTGTGTTGCCTGTGGGCACAGAGGCAGTGACACAGTGTGTTGCCTGTGGGCACAGAGGCAGTGACACAGTGTGTTGCCTGTGGGCACAGAGGCAGTGACACAGTGTGTTGCCTGTGGGCACAGAGGCAGTGACACAGTGTGTTGCCTGTGGGCACAGAGGCAGTGACACAGTGTGTTGCCTGTGGGCACAGAGGCAGTGACACAGTGTGTTGCCTGTGGGCACAGAGGCAGTGACACAGTGTGTTGCCTGTGGGCACAGAGGCAGTGGTACCTGAGAGCAGCTGGATCTGAAGGTCACAGATCTTCTCCTGGAGGTCACACAGAGAGTTCTTCATGCGCTCTCTCCTCGACACCATGTAGCACAGGGTACGCACCTGCAACAGGGCAGAGGTCAGGGGTCAGAGGGCAGGGATCAGGGGCTCTAAATCACTACAGCAGTCGTCTCATAAGATAAACTCATAGGATGCATTAAAGTAAGTCATGTTTATTCATATAGCACATTTAACAGAGCACGGCACAGACATGTTTCATTCTCTCCACACAGAAGACCAGAACACACTGGACCATCAAGGGCTCTGACCAAACACCTGGACCATCAAGGGCTCTGACCAAACACCTGGACCATCAAGGGCTCTGACCAAACACCTGGACCATCAAGGGCTCTGACCAAACACCTGGACCATCAAGGGCTCTGACCAAACACCATCCATTACCTCATTCACTACTGTACTGTTAGCATGTGACGCTACTGTACTGTTAGCATGTGACGCTACTGTACTGTTAGCATGTGCAGTGTTGTGTGTGAACCAGTTCAAAAGAACGCGTTCATTGAACACGCTCATTTTTTTGTGAACATTGAACTGAACGCAACACATTTTTAAATAAAGAACTTGAACGTGAATTAGTTCATTTTATGTGTCATGAACGGCAGACATCACTATGAACGTTGGAATCTGTTTTCTCTTTTGAAACGCAACGAGAGAAAGTTCCTCCCTCCTGTATTCTCCGCACTGTTTCCGCCGAAATCTAAAACTTCCCACGGTTTCCACCGTCTGTGAACGCACCCCGACTCCGTGTTGCGGTGCGGCGCTGTGTGAGCTGGTGCTTTTCACATGTGCCCGAGTCGTGATGAAAACACCGTTTACATTTGACATAAAGTACAGACACAGCACTGCAGCGCATTACTGTCTGTAGTTTATGAGCATAAAGTACAGACACAGCACTGCAGCGCATTACTGTCTGTAGTTTATGAGCATAAAGTACAGACACAGCACTGCAGCGCATTACTGTCTGTAGTTTATGAGCATAAAGTACAGACACAGCACTGCAGCGCATTACTGTCTGTAGTTTATGAGCATAAAGTACAGACACAGCACTGCAGCGCATTACTGTCTGTAGTTTATGAGCATAAAGTACAGACACAGCACTGCAGCGCATTACTGTCTGTAGTTTATGAGCATAAAGTACAGACACAGCACTGCAGCGCATTACTGTCTGTAGTTTATGAGCATAAAGTACAGACACAGCACTGCAGCGCATTACTGTCTGTAGTTTATGAGCATAAAGTACAGACACAGCACTGCAGCGCATTACTGTCTGTAGTTTATGAGCATAAAGTACAGACACAGCACTGCAGCGCATTACTGTCTGTAGTTTATGAGCATAAAGTACAGACACAGCACTGCAGCGCATTACTGTCTGTAGTTTATGAGCATAAAGTACAGACACAGCACTGCAGCGCATTACTGTCTGTAGTTTATGAGCATAAAGTACAGACACAGCACTGCAGCGCATTACTGTCTGTAGTTTATGAGCATAAAGTACAGACACAGCACTGCAGCGCATTACTGTCTGTAGTTTATGAGCATAAAGTACAGACACAGCACTGCAGCGCATTACTGTCTGTAGTTTATGAGCATAAAGTACAGACACAGCACTGCAGCGCATTACTGTCTGTAGTTTATGAGCATAAAGTACAGACACAGCACTGCAGCGCATAACTGTCTGTAGTTTATGAGCATAAAGTACAGACACAGCACTGCAGCACATTACTGTCTGTAGTTTATGAGCATAAAGTACAGACACAGCACTGCAGCGCATTACTGTCTGTAGTTTATGAGCATAAAGTACAGACACAGCACTGCAGCGCATTACTGTCTGTAGTGTATGAGCATAAAGTACAGACACAGCACTGCAGCGCATTACTGTCTGTAGTTTATGAGCATAAAGTACAGACACAGCACTGCAGAGCATTACTGTCTGTAGTTTATGAGCATAAAGTACAGACACAGCACTGCAGCACATTACTGTCTGTAGTTTATGAGCATAAAGTACAGACACAGCACTGCAGCGCATTACTGTCTGTAGTTTATGAGCATAAAGTACAGACACAGCACTGTAGCGCATTACTGTCTGTAGTTTATGAGCATAAAGTACAGACACAGCACTGCAGCGCATTACTGTCTGTAGTTTATGAGCATAAAGTACAGACACAGCACTGCAGCGCATTACTGTCTGTAGTTTATGAGCATAAAGTACAGACACAGCACTGCAGCGCATTACTGTCTGTAGTTTATGAGCATAAAGTACAGACACAGCACTGCAGCGCATTACTGTCTGTAGTTTATGAGCATAAAGTACAGACACAGCACTGCAGCGCATTACTGTCTGTAGTTTATGAGCATAAAGTACAGACACAGCACTGCAGCGCATTACTGTCTGTAGTTTATGAGCATAAAGTACAGACACAGCACTGCAGCGCATTACTGTCTGTAGTTTATGAGCATAAAGTACAGACACAGCACTGCAGCGCATTACTGTCTGTAGTTTATGAGCATAAAGTACAGACACAGCACTGCAGCGCATTACTGTCTGTAGTTTATGAGCATAAAGTACAGACACAGCACTGCAGCGCATTACTGTCTGTAGTTTATGAGCATAAAGTACAGACACAGCACTGCAGCGCATTACTGTCTGTAGTTTATGAGCATAAAGTACAGACACAGCACTGCAGCGCATTACTGTCTGTAGTTTATGAGCATAAAGTACAGACACAGCACTGCAGCGCATTACTGTCTGTAGTTTATGAGCATAAAGTACAGACACAGCACTGCAGCGCATTACTGTCTGTAGTTTATGAGCATAAAGTACAGACACAGCACTGCAGCGCATTACTGTCTGTAGTTTATGAGCATAAAGTACAGACACAGCACTGCAGCGCATTACTGTCTGTAGTTTATGAGCATAAAGTACAGACACAGCACTGCAGCGCATTACTGTCTGTAGTTTATGAGCATAAAGTACAGACACAGCACTGCAGCGCATTACTGTCTGTAGTTTATGAGCATAAAGTACAGACACAGCACTGCAGCACATTACTGTCTGTAGTTTATGAGCATAAAGTACAGACACAGCACTGCAGCACATTACTGTCTGTAGTTTATGAGCATAAAGTACAGACACAGCACTGCAGCGCATTACTGTCTGTAGTTTATGAGCATAAAGTACAGACACAGCACTGCAGCGCATTACTGTCTGTAGTTTATGAGCATAAAGTACAGACACAGCACTGCAGCGCATTACTGTCTGTAGTTTATGAGCATAAAGTACAGACACAGCACTGCAGCGCATTACTGTCTGTAGTTTATGAGCATAAAGTACAGACACAGCACTGCAGCGCATTACTGTCTGTACTTTATGAGCATAAAGTACAGACACAGCACTGCAGCGCATTACTGTCTGTAGTTTATGAGCATAAAGTACAGACACAGCACTGCAGCACATTACTGTCTGTAGTTTATGAGCATAAAGTACAGACACACGCACTGCAGCGCATTACTGTCTGTAGTTTATGAGCATAAAGTACAGACACAGCACTGCAGCACATTACTGTCTGTAGTTTATGAGCATAAAGTACAGACACAGCACTGCAGCGCATTACTGTCTGTAGTTTATGAGCATAAAGTACAGACACAGCACTGCAGCGCATTACTGTCTGTAGTTTATGAGCATAAAGTACAGACACAGCACTGCAGCGCATTACTGTCTGTAGTTTATGAGCATAAAGTACAGACACAGCACTGCAGCGCATTACTGTCTGTAGTTTATGATCATAAAGTACAGACACAGCACTGCAGCGCATTACTGTCTGTAGTTTATGAGCATAAAGTACAGACACAGCACTGCAGCGCATTACTGTCTGTAGTTTATGAGCATAAAGTACAGACACAGCACTGCAGCGCATTACTGTCTGTAGTTTATGAGCATAAAGTACAGACACAGCACTGCAGCGCATTACTGTCTGTAGTTTATGAGCATAAAGTACAGACACAGCACTGCAGCGCATTACTGTCTGTAGTTTATGAGCATAAAGTACAGACACAGCACTGCAGCGCATTACTGTCTGTAGTTTATGAGCATAAAGTACAGACACAGCACTGCAGCGCATTACTGTCTGTAGTTTATGAGCATAAAGTACAGACACAGCACTGCAGCGCATTACTGTCTGTAGTTTATGAGCATAAAGTACAGACACAGCACTGCAGCGCATTACTGTCTGTAGTTTATGAGCATAAAGTACAGACACAGCACTGCAGCGCATTACTGTCTGTAGTTTATGAGCATAAAGTACAGACACAGCACTGCAGCGCATTACTGTCTGTAGTTTATGAGCATAAAGTACAGACACAGCACTGCAGCGCATTACTGTCTGTAGTTTATGAGCATAAAGTACAGACACACGCACTGCAGCGCATTACTGTCTGTAGTTTATGAGCATAAAGTACAGACACAGCACTGCAGCGCATTACTGTCTGTAGTTTATGAGCATAAAGTACAGACACAGCACTGCAGCGCATTACTGTCTGTAGTTTAACCATGTATTATGTGAGATATTTCCACAGAGATATTAAACTCCTGTGGACTCAGCACTGCCACCCCCACCCAGACATGGATTAAGGGGAAGAAGATGGTCTGTATAACATGTGTGTAAATAAGTGTGTGTCTGTATAACGTGTGTGTGTATAACATGTGTGTAAATAAGTGTGTGTGTGTATAACATGTGTGTAAATAAGTGTGTGTCTGTATAACATGAGTGTAAATAAGTGTGTGTCTGTATAACATGAGTGTAAATAAGTGTGTGTCTGTAAAACATGAGTGTAAATAAGTGTGTGTCTGTATAACATGTGTGTAAATAAGTGTGTGTGTATAACATGTGTGTAAATAAGTGTGTGTGTGTATAACATGTGTGTAAATAAGTGTGTGTCTGTATAACGTGTATAAATAAGTGTGTGTCTGTAAAACATGTGTGTAAATAAGTGTGTGTCTGTATAACATGAGTGTAAATAAGTGTGTGTCTGTATAACATGTGTGTAAA